GAACCCTTATTTGCATATGTGGACCTGAACTATGTACAGTATCCCCCTGCTGGCCCAGGGTGAGAACTTCAGTACATAACAGTGGGGGCTGTTGCAATCTCTGGTTGACAAACTGGCAGGACCAGCTGAATCAGAGTACAGCAAGTCTGCTTTCTGCTATCACGACAAGGCTCTTTTGTGTTTACCTTTTTGAATTGGTAATATTTCTACTAGATGCTGCTGCTTTTAGGCTATTTCAGGCTGTTATAATTATTTTAATTATTTCAAGCCTACGGTGTTAGATCTTGGTATGCTGCTTTGGGGGGCTTTATTGGAAAACTGGCTTATAAATGCAAATAAATGAACAAGATATAATTCCTTTTAATAGGAACTAGATGTACATTGCCAAGAATAAAAAGTGTCGCGGTCAGCACGAAAGGGACACGTTGAAACTGGCCCAGAAATTTAGTTTATTTATAAGGGTGGCTTTAGGGGTTGTGTTTTTTCAGCTATGGTCAATCATACCGCTTTGAGTTGTCTCTACAAGCTTAGAGGTAAGGTTGGAGTGATTAATGAAACCCTGAGTCTGCTGAATTTTATGTGAATTTTGTCAGTGAAATTGCTTCTGTGTAAGGACATGCCTATTCTTGCTGACTTGTTAGCATTTGGTTTTCGTGGGCAAGAACAGCAAATGTTCTTAAAGCATCCATTAATTAACTTCAATTAATTAACAGTAATGGCAATCATTCATCTAAACCCCTTAGTTGTAACTGCAGTTCTGTATTCTTGTTTAATGTAATTATCTATATTAATTTTTCTGATGCACAAATACTATGTCCCATATTATCTTCCAGCTTTCAGTTACCAGTCCTGAATGCACTTAATCATGAATGTGACATTCAGCTGAATGGATGATGGGACTTATTACATACCCTCCAACATGATGAGTCCCCAAACTGGGACGCATGTCTTTCCATCTGTGCTCCCACTGAAGTCACATGATCCATGAGAGATCACAGAGCCCCAAAGGTGTGCTTTTTTCAGGGCTATGCTCTCATGGCACCCAAAAATAGATGCTCTCATGACACCTAAAAACTTCCCTGAACAGGGCTGCCTGCGTACTCATGACTGGTGCCCGCTGGGGCACGATGGGAATGGAGAAGGAAAGGTTGTGGGCATAGAAAGTACTTGTGGGGTGACAAAGGACAGCAAGAGGATGGGGGTCAGAGCACAGGAACTAGAGGAGCAGGACCCCTCACCATCACCAGAGGGGCCCCTCTCTCTACAAGCATGGCAGAATCTGAGCTATAGGGAGCTCAGAGTTGTTAGACTACAACTCCCATCATCCCTAGCTAGCAGGATCAGTGGTCAGGGTTGATGGGAATTGTAGCCCCAAACCCAAGTTTGGGAAACCCTGCTCTAGGAGACAAAGGCAAGCAAAGGTGCATAGCCCAGCTCACTAGCTGGCCAGGTGTGGCTTGTTAGCTCTGGGAGTAGGTGTGTGATTCCTCAACTGGATTAGGCTCAGAGCAGCTGAGGTCACATGCCTCATAAAGCCCAGATGTTACAATCAAGACTCAAGGGATAAAAGCAGAGCCAAGGTGCTGTGTCTGCTCAACTTCCCATACTGATGAACCATGGCTTGGGTATCTGAGAAGCTCCATGGGACTGAACTGCAAGTACCCTAACCCTGGATTGGCTGCATAGACGGGAACCTGGATTTTGGACTTGGCTTGTTGTATTGAACCTGGACAGTGTTTCTTGACCTGTTGGACTGCCAGACTAGCATTTGCCCTTTGGGCTGGTCGCCAGGTACGCCAGGGTTCTGGACAGATGTTCTCTCTCAGTTGTGGGTCAGACACCCATTGCTGTTCACAAAGATTCTCATTGAGCAGATTATTAGCACCATCAGCATTGTATGATTTGTCAGAGCTGTTAAACTTTTGTTTAGTGTTAACAAATTTTTTATGGTAAGCTCAGTACGGTATTCAACCAACGATCTAATAAATTGTCCCAATAAAATTTATCAGTTGAATTAATCAGGGTGTAAAATGACTACTGCACACTATATTTCTTGCTGTTTGATTTTTATTTAAAAACGGGCTGAATGAAAATTTATGAAAACAATTAAAGCTGTCACGAATAGAGTCAGACTCTATGCCTATAACTTAAGGTAACAGCAAGTCACTAACAGCTACAAGATTATAAAGTTAGCATGTTATTCTCGGGAAGTGTTACATTACAGTCATAAATTACCACTCAGCAGTCCATTAATTCCAAGTCGGTCTCTGAGAAAGAGGCTTTGTTTCTGTTGCTGCCAAAGCTCCAATTGTCACTTGAGTAGCTTGTTGCTCTGGTACTGTAAGCCATAATGACTGACAGACTTAAGTCCAGATTTAAATACAAGTTTTCAGAAGAAGAGATACTTATATATTTTATATCTATTTATTATTGCATTTCTCTCTAAGGTGCCCAGGGTGATATACATGATTCTCCTTCCTCTCCATTTTACCCATACAACAATCCTGTAAGGTAGCTTAGGCTTAGAGATGACAACTGACTGAAGGTCGCCCAGTGAGCATCATAGCTGAGCAGGGATTTGAACTCTAGCCTCCAATTTCCTTGCCCAACACTTTAACCACTCAACTACATTGATGGTGATGGACAAAAGACCAACATTTGCCTGCTTTGACGGTTTATGGGATTATTCTCCACTAGCAAAATGCTTGTTATGATGTGCTTGAGGTATGCAGACGGATGCATTTTGTCTTGTGAAAGCCTCAGGGTGTGTGGCTATGGGCTCTGACCCATCGCACCTAGTATGGGATGGCTGTAGGTTAGGTTTTGTCACCCAGTGTCATGGGTGAAATAGTTTCCCCCCCCCTTCCACACAGCAAAGATGAACTTCTTTACTTGTAAATTGTGTGGTGTATAGCATACCGCTCTAGGATATCCACCCACAGTTCAGATTTCTTTTTTATTCATGAAATTTGCAAAATGACGTTTGGCCGGTCATTATCACTTGGCCTAGACTACCCCACAGAGGAGTTGTGAGGATTAACGAAAAGTGGAGAAGGGGTAAGATAAAAGCATAATAAATACATAATTTATTTTTATTATAGCCACTTTTTCTCCAAGAAATTTCAGACAACACACATGGTTATTTGCTCTTTCCCTGCCCCAACACCCTTTAATCCCATCCTCACCCTGTCAGGTAGGTTAGACTACAGCTGATGTAGACTTCGAAATGACAGGGGCTACAAGTCCACCCCCCTGAATCTTTGACTATGCTTTCTGGAGCCAATGGAAGCGGGGAATCTGTGGCCCTTTAGAGATTGTTTGACTACTACTACTATCATCGGGGACGCAGGTGGCGCTGTGGGTTAAAGCCTCAGCACCTAGGACTTGCTGATCGAAAGGTCGGCGGTTCGAATCCCTGCGGCGGGGTGCGCTCCTGTCATTCGGTCCCAGCACCTGCCAACCTAGCAGTTCGAAAGCACCTTCGGGTGCAAGTAGATAAATAGGGACCGCTTACTAGCGGGAAGGTAAACGGTGTTCCGTGTGCTGCGCTGGCCTGCCAGAGCAGCGATGTCACGCTGGCCACGTGACCCGGAAGTGTCTGCGGACAGCACTGGCTCCCGGCCTATAGAGTGAGATGAGCGCACAACCCTAGAGTCTGGCAAGACTGGCCCATACGGGCAGGGGTACCTTTACCTTTACCTTTACTATCATCCCTGACCATTAGTTGTTCTGGCTGGGGCTGATGGGAGCTGGTCCAACATCAGAAGGGTCACAAGTCTCCCATTTCTGTTGTACTTCAAAACATCTTGAGGGAACCAGATTGCGGAAGGCTCATGTGATACCTCCATGTGATACCTCCATGTGTGAATTATCGTGCGAACCTGCCTTTAGTCTAAAGCAAGAACTGGGAACCTATGATTCTCCAGGTGTTGGTGGCCTACAGCTCCCATCATCCCTGTTCATTGACCCTACTGGCTGGGCCTATTGGGAATTGCAGTCCAAAAAATCTGAGGATACTAGGTCAAGGAAGCCTGGGATGCATGGAAGCAGAGCAACCTGTGACCTTCCCAGATGATGGTGGACTTCATTCCTGACTGCTGTTCGGGACGGGGCTAAAGGGCAGTGGTTTTCTTTTCAGGGGGTACTCAAGGGTACGCAGTACCAACACCTCTTTTTTCTTGTCATTAAAAAAGTGTGGCATTGCTGTAACAACTTCATGGTGAATACCGGCACCTATTTTTCTAGAGAAAAGGCGCTGCTGAAGGAAATTGAAGGGAATTGCAGCCCATCAACATCTGGAAGACCACAGGTTCCCCACCTGATGTACAGATGTAGGTTTTTTCTTACACTCAAGTGGTGTATCAATTTCATGACCTAAAAAAGTACATTTAAAGCACATGGCTTTCCCCCAAAGAATCCAGAGAACCGTAGAATACTTTTCACAGAGCTACAATTACCAGCGCCCTTAAACAACAGTTTTGTTCATTTTACTTTTTTAAAAAAAATAATTTATTAAATTTGTATATCACCCTATGCCTACTGGTCTCAGGGCAGTTCTAAGCATATGGTGTAGAAGTGTGTGTGTGTGTGGGGGGGGGAATACAAGAAAAAGTGCAGCCTGCGACCACATCCCAATAAAACCTTTATTTGCGTGCAACATAAAAACAGTGGCCACACAGGACAGAAACCCCAAGAAGAGAGGACCCTTTTCTTTGGGAGGGAAACTGCCTTCGGAAGCCCGGGGTGGGGCAAAGGAAACTCCTTTCTCAGAAGAGGCGAGAAGCCCCATCATAGCTGAGATCACCACGTTGCGTGTGTGTGTGTGTGTGTGTTTTTGTGCTTGCACCCACACCACGAGAACCTGCTCTAAAAACCCCGCCTTGTGCTTCCTCTGCTTCCCCCCCCCCGCCTGTCATCCTCCCTCAAAAAGCGCCGGGCGCTCCGTCTCGTTCTCCCGCCTCCCTTTCCCTATAGGAGGCGCGAGCGCGCCCGCGCGCCCGAGAGGCGGGAGCGCGCTGAGGGAAAGCTGCAGTCGGCGGCGGCCATCTTCTTTCAGGAACCGGCTGATTTCCACCGCCCCCCCCCACCTATACCCCCTCCTCTACCTCCGCTGCAAATGAGGCAGCCCCAAGTGAGACCCCTTGCCACTCACTGAGCCGGTGCCGGGGGCGGGAGCCGGAGGCACACGGAGAGACACCCACACAGGATAATTTGGGAGTGGGGCGGGGGAATCTCCCTTCCTGGCCGGCCGGGGTGCGGAAGGGGCTGAGGGAGGAGGGGGCGCCTCAGCCCTTGGCATTAGGAAGCCTGCGCCGGGAGTGGGCGGGTGGGCGTGAGGCTGGGGGCTTCCTCTCGGGGTCGGGCGCCCCTTCCCTGGTCCCCACCCCCCGCTGGCTCTTTCTGCCCCGCCAAGGTGCTGCTGCTGCTGCTGAGGAGGCGGAGGCTGCTCTCTCTCTCCCCCTCTGGATGGGAGGATAAGCTGTAACCATGTTCAGCTTCGAAGGGGAGTTCAAAACCAGGCCCAAGGTGTCTCTTGGAGGAGCCAGTAAGAAGGTAAGCGACCCCCACCCAGTGCCTGCGCCGCCCTTCTCAGGTCTCGGGGTCTCTACGCGATTTTGGTCTCCGCCAGCCCCGTTTCCCAGCCTGCCTGCAGATTCCGGTGGGGCCCCGCGAAGCCGGCGTGACTAAGGTTAAATCTGAGCAACCCCTTGTTTTCCGCGGTGTCTAGTGTTTTCTCCCCTTTCCTAATAATAATCATAATGATTTTTATTATTCCCCCACCCCAAGACCAGGGGCCTCTCTCAGACCTGTGGGTGCAGCTCAGCCCCAGTGTGTCTTGGGTTTGTTTTTGTTAGGAGGAAAAGGCGCCTGGAGAGTCATTTGTGTCGCCCCGGCTTTGGTCTTTCCCGGAGAGGGTTTCCTTCAAGGCCGAGGGTTTTGAAAAGAGAAACTTGAGATGCTTTGGTTGCGAAATAGCCAGCAAAAAGGCAGAGGCGTGATTGGAAGGGGGGGAAGGGAAGGGGGCCACCGTCCCATTTGTGAAACTCCTGTGGTGCATCAGCTCTTGCAAGTGTCTCTTTCTCAGGACCCTTGGCATCAGCTTGGCATCCAGTTGGATGAAACGTAATTGTGGGAGGGGAGAGCTAGGGGGCGGCGGGTAGGCCTCACTCTTGTGTTGGGGGGAGAGTTTAAGAATTTAGTCTGTAATCCTAACACTGTTTACCTGGGTGTGATTGAATTGAGTAGGCATGGTTTAGGGTTGTGCTGTTAAATTCCCACATTGCAACTCCTGAACTGTACAGGAGTCCGCGAAACATACTGATTCTCGACACTGCCTTTTTAATACACGATTTGAGGAAAAGCGCACTCCAGGTTTCTGAAGTAGATAGGACAGCAGGGAATGCATTCCTTCACTTTGGCCTAGGTTTTTCTTTTCTTTTTTCATTTTCTTATCAGCACTCTCTTACTTAATTTGTAGGCCTCTCCTAGTGCTGATAAAGCGCATAGCGGCCCACTAAAAATGTCCATGCACAATATGGCATCTATGTATAGCTTTCTGCTTTTTATTTAAAATAAGTATCTGTAATAAATAGGGGTGTGCGTGCTTTTTAAGTATTGAGATGGCAGAAACTGAAACCTGGCCTGGTTTCAAAACTGTCTTGTGTCTTTTAGTGGTTTAGAGGCTATTTATGCAAGTCATTGGTTCTTAACATAAGTTTCCTGCCTGCAATGGGAGTAATAATGCTTATCTCATATGATTGCTATGCAAAGGAACAGGTTTACCCACAAATGCAGTCATTTAGCATTTGCTTTAGTTAACTATAACGGCCTGTGTGTTTAAATGTACCCATCATTCAGAATTGAGGCAGACCTTAGAGCAACAGCTGGTCAGTCTGGTTTGAAGCTATTCAGGTAACAAATACAAGATCTCATGAAGCTTGTGAAGCAGTTTGCATACTGAAAGTACTGTGTCAGTTATTAATGAAAATATGCTTTATTTGGATTCTTGATTTTTATTTTTAATTCTGAAATTTAAAATACTTCTCATGAATTGTATGAGATGGGGCCTTTAAATGATATATTGTGCCATAAAGAAATATCACAGCACACCCTTTTCTGCGTAGTGTTACCTAGGCCATATTTTCATGAATCAGATGCACATCAGAAGTATATTAGGTATGTGTAGCTATTCATCTGAATTATTGAGGAACTATCTACTGACACATTTCTGATGGCTAGAAGCCATTTACGTTCATTAAATCACATGTGCGATACTGTTTTCTGCACTGAAGAAAGAATAAGTCTTGATATGCAAAGACGGCAATTGGCAGGGTATGTCCTATTCTTCATGAATGTACCGGTATCTTAGGTGCTTTACATCTTTTGTCATCAAATTATGAACACTAATAGTACCACTTAAAGATTGTGCTGCTTTGCTTAAAAGTTGGGCAGGAATAATATATTCTCGCTATGATTTTTAAACCTCTGTTTAAAATTATTAGGCTGTTTGTGCAATAATATTGAGCGCGATTTATTAAGACTTAGATCAGGGATAGCTGATCTGCAGCACAGATTTCTGCACTGACCCAATAGTTTGCAGAAAAAAATAAAAACCCTTTCTGCTGTGGTGCTGAAATATTTCTGCCTTAATTGATCCTGTGAAGACACCTCTTCTCCCTCTGGTGAAGCACTATTGCAGGAAGGTTTCGGTAGACAGGAAACAGGAATAAGCACTCTTTAGTGTTACACTGGACCAAAGTGTGCTGACAGTAGAAGAAACCAGTCAGTTTATTGTCCTTAAGATTAGATCTGCCAGGAGAAAGAATGTGACTTTGGATTTCACATGGAGTACTGGGGAAAACTGAGCTCTTGCGGAGGCTGAAACACTTGCCTTTGTTTTCATTTAAGCTGAAAATTTATAGGGATACAGCATCATTATTACACTTATATACCACTTTTCTGCCAAGGTGCCCAATGTGGTTTACAGTTTTAAAGTACTAAAACAAATGAAACAGAATGTAAAGTTGGCCAGGGTGGGGAAACAGTCTGGCTGGAGCAGGCCCTGATTTCTTTGCCTCCCTCCCTTGATGTCTTGCTCTTGGATTATTACCTAAATCACTTGAGAGGCTCATTGGTGAACTTGTAGCACACTTTCCCTTCCTTTATTATCTTGTCTCTTTCAGTTTTCCTCATCCCCTGTAAATTTGATCCCACTCCCATCCCCACAGACTGCCTCCTATAAATTGGTTTATTCAGTGGAAGCTTTCTGTAAGAATTGGCATGTAAACATGAGGCCCATTCCCTCACCTCTGCTGTGACCCCCTCGATCCAGGTAATGGTGGTGGGGACAGCTAAAGTGGGCCATGGTAGAGCTTTATAAAATGATGCAGAAAATGGATAGACCTTCCCCCTCTGCTCCACCCCCCCCCCCGCTCTCATAACACTGGAACACGGGGTCACCCATTGAAATTGATCTGCTGTAGATTCAGGACAGAAAAAAGGAAGCACTTCTTCCCACAACACATAATTTATGGAACTTGCTGTCACAGGATGCAGTGATGGCCGTGGCTTTAAAATGGAATTGGACAAATTCATGGAGAAAAGGTCTATCAATGACTATTAGCGATGGCAGCTAAATGGAAGTTCCATGTTCAGAAATGGTATGCTGCTGAATAACAGTTGCTGGAAGGAGACTGTATGAGAGGGCTGTTGCCTTCATGCCCTGCTTGTGGTCTTCCCGGAAGCATCTGGTGTGGTGTAAATCGGGTACTGGGCTAGATGAACCTTTGTTCTGATTCAGCAGGTTATCCACACAGTCATCCTGGAATATGTGCTTGACAGATAATTCTGTTGAAATCAGCAGAATATACCTTCAAAGAAATGCATTTGAGATAAGGGTTTCCCCCAAGGATTTAGGAATGTGATGGATGCTTTAGTGCTGGGTCTAATGCTTACATACTACTTAGAGGCAGCTTCCGTTGCTTTAATGGTTTTGTCCATTTGAAACACCTTGGCATTGACTTCTTCTCTAGAGCTCTGTGTGAATGGCGTGAAGGGAGAAGGAAGGGAGCCCAGGCTTTTATGCTCAGCTACAGTTTGGCCTGGGAAAGTCGCTTTACGTTTTATTTAATGTATTTGTTCTAAAATATTTTTTTAAATTTTGAACCACCTCAGGTTCCTAAGCAGAAAGGAGGCATATAAATTTAATAAATAACACACATTGGTAAGTTGCATGTCTGATAACTCGGCTATACAGTGGCACCTTGGTTCCCGAACGGCTTAGTTGTCAAACAAATCGACTCCTGAACGCCACAAACCCGAAAGTAGGTGTTCTGGTTTGCGAACGTTTTTCGGAAGCCCAACGTCCGACACAGCTTCCACTTGAGTGCAGGAAGCTCCTGCAGCCAATCGGAAGCAACGCCTTGGTTTGCGAACGGTTTCGGGAGTCGAATGAACTCCCAAAACGGATAAAGTCCGAGAACCAAGGTACCACTGTATAGGGAAATCTTGAGTTTGGATCCTCATCGGATGATTGAAATCTATTGGGTTGACTCAGCATTAGTAATGAGGATGTAAATCTGTGTTGTTTATTAGCCTTTTTGATTGGTTATTGTTAGGCCTGTTGTTTTCACTTTAAAAATACTGATAATAGACTTTGTAAAAGCTAGTGAAATTTACTCAGCTTCCTTCCCAGTGCCCTAAGTTTTGAATGTGGAAACAAAGAAAAAGAAGGATGCATGGATAAAGAAGGATGCATTTTGTAATGAAAGTAACTTTGAAAAGCAAAACTAGTTATAATTGCACCTGGCTTTTAAAATGCAACTTTATTTATGAATCTCTTCACCAAATTAGGCTATTGCAAATGTTTAGTTCTGCTTTGGGTAAGCAATAGAGAAATATCTTAAGTGTGTAGGCTTCACCACTTCTTTTCTGATATTACTTTATCAAATTATAAAACCAAATAAGGCAATATTGTTAAACAGTTTTTCTACTGTAACTTTCCTTTTAAAATTGCTTTGACTTAATTCCTTAATTATATTATAGTTCCCTAAATACATTCTATCATGGTGCTCAAATGCATGAAATACTTTCATATGCACTTTTCTTTTAGCACCTTCTCTGACATTGAGCTGTGGGTGGGTATTGTTTGGAGAAGATCAGTATTTATTTAGATATTTATATTTATGCAGTTTAATTGAATGAACAGTGTGTGGCTGAAAACTTTTTTTGAGACTTTGTTGGGAAAATCAGAAATTGTAATGGATGTTCGTTCATTCATTCATTACTGTTAACTGGTTGTGCCAGTTGAATCCACTGCAGTTTTAAATTGTGTTAATTACTCTAGTCTAGTTTAAACAAAATAAAGAAATAATCATGCTCACATTTGTGATGGAGGCCGTTAGGTAGAATGACTTTAGGCTGATTTCTTGTGTGTCATTGATTGTGTTGTATCTAAGCACATAAAGGAGGAAGATGCATGTTACTTTTCTGCAAAATATTTTGGAAAGATGATGTTTTATCTTTATGCAAAACTTTAAATGCATTTGTTTAGGTAGAAACAGAATATACGGTAATTTCTCGTCTTTTCCAGGAGGAAAAAGCTTCTCTTTTGCATCGCACACAGGAAGAGAGGCGGAAACGAGAGGTATGATACAAGTAAAGCCTTTTAAAATAGCTTCCAGTTGAAATGTTGTATGATGAAAATGCTTATGTTTGTATTTAAAGCACTGAACAGCTGGACCCCAAGTATCTGAGAGAATACTTGCTGCCGTTCAGTGAGATCCATGGACAGTGCCCTCCTAGGGCTTCCTGTTCAGTGCTAGGTGCATAGGATTGTGTGTAGGGGGTGCTGTTTAGTGGTGGCTCCAGAACGGTGCAATTCCTTCCACAGTGAGATTTGTCTGCCTTGTTCTTTTACTCTTAGGCAGTGCGGATCAAGACACCCCTCTCTTGACAGGATTTTGAAGGAGGGGTTGGGTGAAGAATGGTTAGCTGATTTGCTTTATAGCTACCTCTTTTTTTGAAGCATTGATGACCAGTTGGATGCTGTCTTTCGTCCCTTCTCTGTGTTGGAGTTAGGAACTGATTTAGATTAAATTTGTATTTTATTTTATTGTTTTGTCCTTTTTTTTATAAGTGTAACCCTCCATGGGGCCTACTGGCAAAGGATGGTATATAAAACTCATAAATAAATAAAACAGCTTGGGTATTGGCTTTTTAAAATCTCCTGTTTTCCTCATTTTGTAGTTGTGGAATTTTTGAATGCTAAATGGTAGGGCCCTCCCTTACATTGTTTTGCACCACATTTAAATTTTGCTGGGATAATGTATGCAAGCATGGTACCTTGGAATTGCTAACATGAGCCTGACTCACTAGCAGAAAAGCTAGTTGTAGGGCTGATTCACACACTTGTTTGGCAGACTAGAGCAGTGTCTACTATGCCATTCTCCTTAGGGATTTGTATGATAATGTTTCCTGATTAACCATGGTTTACCGACATATGCATAGGCAGGAAGGAGCTGCCTCTAGCTTTCATCCCCCCCCCCCCTGGACTCCAACAATTTCTTTTCCTGCTTCCCCTACAGCTAGGCAAATGTCACCTGAACCAGGCATCATTTGCAACCAGTTCTTCTCACTTTCAAAACAAGCAAACTTCAAGCAGTGGTTCCTGACAGTCTCTGTAGAGTTTGTTAACAAACCACTTTTCTTTATCTGTATGATGCACCAAGCCTGCCTTTAAAGGAGAGTAGAGCTGAAAATTGATGGAGTCATGGGAAAAGGTGGTGCCTCAGCTTGAGGCTCACTGCAGCTTCTTCCTTCTTGGCTGCATATTACTAAGCCATGTTTCTGTGTGTTGTGTGAACTGGACTTCAGTGTCATAGGCAGTCATGTGAAACACTGCCTATGTTTGAGACTGTACATCCCACCGTCATCATAAAGTTGATTAACTACAACCATGGAAATTCTTTTGTCAGCTCCAATGAGCAGATAATTTGCCCGTTTCATTATTTGTAAGGCTCTGGTGCAGAAAATGTGCATAAGAAACAAGGCACTCTGTATTTACAAGAATATATTTTGTTACGCTAATGTACTTTTGAAGATGTAGCATATATCGGGAAGAAAACATGACTCAGTCTATTGAGAATAAAATCAGACACAGCTTTAAAAAATGAGTAGTGAAATTGCTGCAGTGACCTCAGGCTTCAAACATTTGCAACTATGGGTCACTAATTGACAATTATGCATTCTTGGATGAAACCTATGCCTAATGAGGAGAATATAACTGTCTTGTGTTGTAATTCAGCTGTGTGCTGTGGAAGATCAGTTGCTGCTGCTGTTGAGATTGCTGTTGAATTTTCCTGTTTTGTTTCTGGTTTTTTAAAAACAGTACAAGTTGATCAGCAGGCTCCCTGTTTCCAGCGTCTGTCATTTGAATATCCTTGGCTCACTTCTTGCCAAATCTTTATTCATTCAATTTCTTATTTCTGTTCTTTCATTCCTTCATTTATAGGTGCTGCCACAGTAGTGTATAAAAATCTGAATTCCACCTCAAGTAATCTATCCCCCCCCCCATATTTAACTTGTAATGCCGTAGTCTCATTCCACTAACATCTATTAAACAGATATTTTAGTAGCTTCGGGTCAACATTTTCTGTTTTGAAAACCATGGGGTACATAAGGAATGCTGGGGCACAGCTGTACATAGATATTGGATATGAGGTGCGAGGTTTAGTTTTTTATTAGCTGGTGGGAAAAGCAAGGAGCTTTGTAGGGTGGTGATGCTCTGGTCTCTAAACAATGGATGACCTGCCCAAATGGCATTTGGCTTGAGTCTTCAGCATAAAGGCTAGGAACTTAGTTTTAAAAAATTAAAAGAAACTTTGTTTTAAATTTGACAGATTCAACAGGAAATACATTATATGGTAAACTTGTTGGATATGCATATAATAGAGCTTGCATCACATCAGAAAAGCATATCAATGGAAAAGCACAATTCTCCTAATGGGCAGCAAGATATTTGTGTTCCTTTCAGTCTGTCTTGTTTGGCTATGGCTTGGTGTCGGGCAGCGTAAGCCCGTTAGGTGGAGAACCCAGACCTTCTCTACCACAAACTCCACTGCTCGTGTTCCTCTGATACTATTGAAGAGAGAGTTTTTTGTGTGAGGTTATTCAGTGACTGCACAGGTGTTTTTCTTGTCAGTGCTTTGTTCTATTAACTACAATGCAGCAAATTTTATTTTGACCTTTGTCTTGTCTCCTTAGGAAGAAAGGAGAAGGCTGAAAAATGCAATAATCATCCAGTCCTTTGTTCGTGGGTACAGGGACAGAAAACACCAAGTAGGCATTTTTTTTTTATGATTGACTTTTCTTATGTGCTTCTGAGTTTGCACAGTAACCACAGAAAGATATATCTAAAAGGAGTTGACACTGTCACTATTTCAGCCTGCCTTCTAGTCACTACTATCAGCGTGTGCAGAAACAATGCCTGCTGATCTGCTGTAGAAAACCCTCTGATACTTACTACTTCCTCAAACCCACAATGTAATAGCAAGTTTGTACTGTATGTTAGTCATTCTCTCCCTGTAGTGTAAGACTCCTGTTCAGTGATTCTCTGGACTGGGATTATTGGTTGCAGCCTATGGGGTAACCATGGTCTTAAATTTAGTTTGGAACTCCATTTAGAAGGACTTGCGATGAATAAGAGCACAGTAAAAATGAACTATAACCAGAAATATAAAATATCTATTGTATGGCTTTAAAGAACCCTGTGCTTTCTCCCAGGAACATCTGTTTATGCCCAGAGGTTTGCCAAATACCTTCATTTGACTGCAGCTCCTTGTGCTACATAGAAAGCTCTGGAGCCTGACTTCTGGCAACAGGCCAGTGGGCAGGAGCAAACTCTACTTATATCCCTTTCAATCCTTGCCTGTGTAAAAGTGCAATAAAATTATGAAAATATGTACAGTAGTTCTAATCTGGAAAATTAATTCATATGTATAGTCGGAATGTCTGTTGGGAAACTTGTTTATTGTTAGTCTCAATTAGATGAATAATGCAGTAGAAGATGAATTCACACAAAACTAATTACTTCCCATTAATTTTATTCTTGGTTCATTCTAGCTTTCAAAATGAGTTCTAATTCTGCTCTTAGTACATAGGCAGTTCTGTTTCCATAGGATTTGAGGGAGTTGATGTGTACCGATGACAATACTTGTACTGTACTGACTGATTATGCTTTTAAAATTTCTGAAAATGCTATGACATCACTTTGCATTTTTGCACCTTTATGTACAAGCCAATTTAACCTCCACACTTGGCCTTGAGCAAGTGTACCTCAGGTTATAAACAAAAATCAATGCTGAAGAAATTATATGCATAAAATTGTTCATTGGGGAAAGCTGCAGCTTCAAATGAGTATATTGAAATCTTGCCTGTGTTTCATAATGTTGACAATACAGTACATTAACTTAAATTTTATTCTTCAATTTAAGTATTCCATTCAGAGGAGCGAATTTGATTACTGTGCTAATCTAGCGCAATCTGGAGGAAGTTTCTCCACCGCCAATGGAGCAAATCTGACTCTTTTAGTTCGCCAACTTCTGTTTTTCTATAGGCATAATGAGGATTCTAAACGTTTGGTAAGTACTCAATGAGAGTGATTTCAGTTTCTTGTGTGTTTTTAGTAATTATTTTTAATTTCTTGGTTGTCAGTACTAAATGATCTGTTCAAAAGACAGTGAGGTTGAATCTGGACAGGCAGAGAGTTACTTGTCCCTGCAGAGAGGGGGTGGCTTTCCCATTCTTCCTCCTCTTCTGGTAGCAACCCCAAGAAAGGAATCCTCCTTCCCTCCCACAAGGTCAGGGTTTCACTAAGGCCAGTATACCATCTGCTACAAGAGAATGGTGCCACCCAAAAAAATCTCCACTTCCTTATCTGTGGGAAAACATGCTTTCAGTTTTCATGCTGAAGTGTGTGGATCCATCCAAAGTTTTGGAGAACATTACATCCTAATAAACATGTAGATGCTGTCATAAAGTCAGTGCTATCTAACCTTAAGGGCTTTATTTATTTCATAAAACTTATATGGCAGTTTATAGTTAATGGAAGATGGCATAGGCTCATTTGGCTCAGTATGCATGGGAGGGATGGACAGACAGAAAAGACTTAGGAATGTACCTGAGACTCATAAGTTTCTCTCAAGAGTGCCTCTTTCCCATAAAAACCTTTCTGCAATGCTCATGAAGTAACAACAAAATAAAATGTATATGCAACACCCTGAAATTACTTTCTTCCCTTGGCACATGTTGGTGTTTAAATGAAATAAAGCTGAAGTGTGGAATCTTTGGGGGTGGGGGTCAGTGTGGTGAGGCCACATCACTTTCCTTCTCTTAAAAGCAGTTGCAGGGCACTGTATGTGTATGGTTGCTAATCCGTTTGCTTGTGCTAGTTTCTAATGTGCTAGTTCCTGGATTGTTCCTCTACATGCCCCCCACCCTACTCCACTGGAGCAGCTATTAGCCATAGATGGTAAAGATAATTGTGGTACCTTTGTTTTTTATCCTCCATGGCTATCAGTAGCTTGGGAAGGAGGATTTAATTTAGGGCCAGAGCATAATTTGTGTGTGTGTGTGTTTAGGGAGAGTTAGCCTCTTCATCCTCAAGAAACTTATCTAAGTAGGGTGTCCTAGTGGCTGCTTTTACCAAAAAGAAAAAGATGTTCAGCTATCCTGTTGTATATCTATCCCTTATTTCCGAATACAGATTTGTTTTTCTTAGGCATAAAACAGGAGAAAATAACATGGTCTATTATTCAAGCTCGGTGCAGACAGATTTGGGACCACCTCATTATGACAAACTAATGTGCCAAGTAAAGATAGATAACAACTTGCCCAAAATTGGAAGCTTTGTTTACCATTTCGTGCCTCTTCTTGGCATACTTTGATGACATATGACCAAACACAACACTATCCCCCCAATCCTACATGCTTTGGCCGAGCTGATTTATTTTTAATTCTGTTTTGGGGTATTCTGCTTGGGGGCAGGTGGGGATTAACAGTCTTAAAGGTAAAGGGACCCCTGACCATTAGGTCCAGTTTTGACCGACTCTGGGGTTGCGGCGCGCATCTCGCTTTATTGGCCGAGGGAGCCGGTGTACAGCTTCCGGGTCATGTGGCCAGCATGACTAAGCCGCTTCTGGCGAAACAGAGCAGCACACGGAAACGCCGTTTACCTTCCCGCTGGAGCGGTACCTGTTTATCTACTTGCACTTTGACGTGCTTTCGAACTGCTAGGTTGGCAGGAGCTGGGACCGATGCTAATTAAGAATTAGAAATAAAGGTCTGGGAGAGGAAAAATGTCTCAGCTTGGCACCAAGCAGACATTATGTCGGTCATACGTTTCTAGGGGGAGTGTTCCATAGGTAAGGCCAGGGGTTGGGCACATCGTGGCAAAGGACCTCTCAGCATTTGAGATTAGAAACACTTGAGGAAGGGCCTCCATTGATTCATCTTGAGGTGCAAGAGGTGTTCCTTTAGATCAGGAGGAACCTGTGGCCCTCCAGATAATGTTGAACTTTAGCTTCCATCAGTCATATCCAGCATGGCCAAGATGCGGTATGAAGAGAGATATAATCTGAAAACATCTGGAGGCCACAGTTCCCCATTCCTGCTTTAGATGCTCGTGCATGCTTTATGTACATGAACAGTCACAAAAAGCACCAGAGTTACTTTTTAGAGCATTTTAACACTTGTATCTGTGGATGTCTTTCCCCCCCATTTCCAGATATGGATATGTCAGAACTTGATTAAGCAGAATTCTCAGTTTGTGAAGCAGCTTGATGGCCCTGAGAAACTTACATGCCTGTTCCAGATAAAAAGGCTGTTGGGCTTATGTTGCAGGTAAAAACGAATAAACTTAATCAGCTCACTGCGGTCTTAACCATGTTCCTTAACTGAATTAGCTCACTTAAGGCTACAAATCTATATTAAATATGTTAAATGGCCATCCTGAGGTCTTTAGCCCCAGTTGGCTCTATGGACAAGAGCACTTTACGTTTTCTGTTGAATTCTGAGGTCTGAAATCTTATTGCATTGTTTGCAAGTTAGAATTGTATTCCTTTTTTGCTAGAAGGGAAAAGCTATACCACTTGAGTGACAAGTTTTATTTTTGTCATAGATTGCTGCAAAACTGCAATGATGACAGTCTGAATGTTGCACTTCCTATGAGGATGCTTGAAGTATTTTCATCTGAGAATACCTATTTGCCTGTTTTACAAGATGCTAACTATGTAGCATCAATAATTGAACAAATCTTGCACTACGTGATTCAAAAAGGTTCGTGTAATGATTGCTTTTCAAAATTTTATTGAACTTTGAATATGTAACAGCTGCCAGCTTTGTGAATGAACTACATTTACAATAATATCCAACAATTGTGAATATTGCAGTAATACTGAAATGAAACATAATCTTCTTATGTCTTCGAAAATGCTGTTTCTTATTGAAATAGTGTAGGTGTTAATGCCTTGCAGATGGTTGTATATGTTTTCAAATGTTTCCTGATGCTTTATTCAGGTGTTTTTTTAAAATGTGTGTGTTATTTTTACTCTTGTTATTTTAACTTGTCATGGATTTAATGTTCATATTGCCTTATTGTTAGCTGCACTGAGAACATTCATCCTTAAGAATGGCATGTAAGTGTTTACTGCAGAGTCCTTTTAACATTCTTTTTTGTCATTGTAAAACCATGGACTACTAGGCTCAAATTCCATAATACTATGAAACAGCAGATTTAGCTGGTGTTTTGAAGAGCCAGTGCTTTGAATTGGCACTAATTTTTGGATTTGATTAACTAGATGAGATCAATTGCCAGTATTTTTCCCTAGTTTATCAGGTATGTTGCTAAAATTATAGTTACTATATTAAAGCACATCTCACAATGTGGTCTTTCGCCCGTAAAAGCTGGTACTTTGCATCCTACAAGACTCTTAGTTGTGTTTGTGCAGCCTTTGACATGCCTCTGCCTCTGAAATATATTTTAGTCAGTTGTAAAATAATTTTACTGTTTAAAAATAAATGTGTGCCTTAAAATGGGTACAAATGCTTGAATTCTTTTTCTTTTCAGGATACTACAGGTCTCTTTATCTGCTAATAAATAACAAGCTTCCATCAAGTATTGAGTATTCTGATGTGTCTCGAGTTCCTATTGCAAAAATATTGTTAGAGAATGTTCTGAAACCATTGCACTTTAATTATAGCTCCTGTCCAGAAAATGCCAGGTAAGCACGTTTAGTTGTGCATTGGTATGTATTAGTTTGATTTTTCCCCCCTTACCATGGCAAAGCACTAATAGGTACTGATGGAACAAATATGTAAAGCTTTGTGGAATGACTAGATCATCTCTTTCTAGTCTTGAAACAACCTCTTATTACTGTTCTGCAGACTTGTTTAGCAAAAATAAATACAGTAGCAAGAGGGTAGAAACAGAATTAATAAAATGCACCTTGACAATTACGAAGAAAAAAATCCCAATGGGTAAAATATATTTCCAAACTTGAATATTTTATTGTATTGTCAATGTAGCGGTGGAAAGGTATGTTCACATTTCCAATAAAGAGAATCCTTTCTTTACCTTCTGCAGGCAACAGAATTTTGCTGCTTTTACAGAAGAATTCCTGGCAGCACCTTTTACAGATCAGATATTTCATTTCATCATTCCAGCGCTTGCAGATGTGAAGACCTGTTTTCCTTATGAACTCTTTTTGAATGCACTATTGTTAACAGAAAGCAGGCGTTTGAGGAAAAGTGAGAGAGCTCCTTGGCTTTTCTACGTTGTTCTAACTGTTGGGGAAACATATTTAGGTATGTAGAGCATATTTAATCAGTTAAAGTATCCATTTGTTACCGTATATGCCGTCCCTGCAGCAGCTGGCTAGGTGCTTTCCAGTTGCAAACCTTATTATTATTACAACTATTATGCCTCTTCTACTACAGCCTATCTTTCCTCCAAAGGCCTTAAGGCACAGTACATTGCGATTCACTGCATTGTTCACCTTAAGACCTTTGTGAGGTATGTTAAACTGAGAGTTAATTGACTGGTCTTTGGTCACATTCCTACTTTCAACCTTGAACATCCCAGTGAAAATTTAGCAGGTTGACTTCATACTCTTATAAAAACACACGGTGATCGTGATATTCGCAATAGAATAAATATGTGGTTTTGGTTCTTTACTGATCTCAGAAACCCAATGCATAATTTAATCATTGTTTTTAGGTTCTCAAGTTTAAATATTAACAACAATGAGGTCTTAAAAACTTAAGAAAGCCCAGAATCTCAAGATTTGAAAAATCTGCACACCATGTGGCCTATGAACCACATATATATTTTACTTATCCCTAAAATACGCACAGTATCAGTGGCGGGTGTGTTCAGTTTCTTACAAAGTGTCATAAGTGATCCCTGCTCAGTATTTCTGTGTTCTTTATTCTGTATTTAATCTTTTCCTCAATATAGGATCTCTTTCAGAAGAAGGGCTGCTTGTGTACCTGCGAGTCCTTCAGACATTTCTTTCTCAGTTACCGGTGTCTGCATCAGGTGCAGACTGCCAAGATTCAACCAGTGACTCTGAAGATGAAGATGAAGGAATTAGCAAGATGACTTCCATGCCTGTAGGTATTAAATGTTGTCAGAAGAAATTGCACAGTGGTAACACTCAAGCTTGGAGTAGGCTTCCTCTTCTGTAATACTCCATTCTTCTTTGGCCTTTGCAGCAAAATATGTTGGCAGTAGTTAACTTATATTTGGCTTGGATCTATTTACATGTGGACGGTTTGCAGTTTCCCTTGTATTTTCTGTGTGGGGAAGCACAAATGTTTACCGTTTTGTGTGTGTTTAACTTTGTATATTGTGTGCAGTGCCTCTCCCAACCCACCTCATTTCCAGGTGTTTTGTTGCAGACTGCTTACAGTGGCTTTTTCATGGCTAGGCATGTCAATTGCAGTCAAATAGCACATTACACAGGTGGCTGCATAATGTACTGTGATTTATTGTGGAAGAGAATGGAATTCTAATGGGGGCATAGAATTTAATGACTGTTCAGAGAGATCAGTGAGGTGGTGTATAAAAGCCTCACTGCTCTTTGTATGCATTTATAAATAGAAGCCTGATTTGTCAATTTCAGGTAGTAAAAAATATTAAAGTTGCTGGTATTAGGCATCACACATTGCACTTGGACACATGCTAGTAGACACTCTTTTTTTACAACAGGCTTTGAACTAGTCGTTACTATCTAGGTTTTTTTTTAATAGATGTTTGGATTTGAGAATTAAGTCATTATGTATCTTACATGCTTTTGGAAAACTGACCTTGAAAATGCACAAATGAAAAATAACTCTGGTCTTTAAACACTATCTTTATTGGGTATCTTGCTTGAATATAATTCATTAATAAAGCCAAGGACACAAAGTGAAATAACTAAAAAGTGAAGATCTGGCATAAGTTAACCAAGACTTGAAACCACATTTCTGAAGAATTTGAATACTTGGAAATTAGCTTTCAGTGGTTAACCAAAACATTAGGTGAAACTTTGTAGAACAAGAGCCGCAATACAGTGTGGAAAGTTCAATATTTTACTCTCATAGGTCAGGGGTCCTCTGGCTCATGGTCTCTTTGTTGGAAGCACACTAGATTTTGCATGGCTGCAGTGTGTGTGAATGGGTGTGTGTGTGTGTGTGTGTGTGTGTGTGGATGAATTGAATTATGTGAATGGGATGTTGCATGTGTGCCTGCCTTCCTGCATGAGGGAATGTAGCCCTTGGGCTGAAAAAGATTCCCAGCGCTGCTTCAGGTTGTCCATAGAGTGCTGCTTTCTTTACTCACCCAGGTGTGTGCAAAGATCCAACATACTGGAGCGGCAGGCCATTCCTGTACTACGCTGCAATCTTCAAACTGATTATACAAGTATTGCAGGGCTTTTCTTCATGGCAGCCTTCTTTATTATTCATCTAGTACTAGGGTAGTAGACAAGGAACCCAGATAGAACAGTGGAACAGCCCTTCAGAGAAAAGAGACTAAATCCCCCCCCCCATTGTGATTAAACTGCTCAGGCATACTGCATGGCTGGTGCTGATCTGTGACTGAGTTCTCTCCCCTCCACCTGCCTTTTAGGTGGTGTGGCTTGCCTTGAACAGAAGTACCAGCCACTTCCATGTACTGTGGGATTCAGAAGCGTATCTTTGCTTTTCTAAATCCATTTAGATAGTAGAACTGATATCCTGCTTTTGCTGAAAATTGCAATAAGTGCTTTGAGACTATTTAGCTCCTCCCACCCAAAAGAGGTTAATATACATCATTATTTTAAAAGCACACATTCTTTGAGATGTTAAAAAAATTTTTTTTCCCTTTTGCAGGGAGATGGAAGAATATCAGTCCAATACATAACTGAAGAGTGTCTTTCAAAACTGGATACAAAACAGCAGACAAACACTCTGCTAAACATGGTTTGGAGAGATTCAGCTAGTGAAGAAGTTTTTACTCTGATGGCTTCCATCTGCCACACATTGATGGTGCAGCACCGAATGATGGTGCCAAAAGTCAGGTAAGTCTGAAAAAAAGAAAAGTGCATTTGCAGACATAAATCTACAAATTTAGGGGCAATTCTGGCATTCTTTCCTGCGTGCCCGAAACACTGGTCCTATGTTAACTCTATTTCATCAGCAGTATGTGTTGGAATTATTTGGAAGCTCACTGTCCAGAAGCCCTAGAAATGTACTAAGGACAACAGGATATAGGGCAGTTCGCTTTGATTTTGACACTTTTTGGTAAAACAGAGATCCTTGGCCAGTGTGGTGTAGTGGTTAAGAGCGGTAGTCTCGTAATCTGGGGAACCGGGTTCACGTCTCCGCTCCTCCACATGCAGCTGCTGGGTGACCTTGGGCCAGTCACACTTCTCTGAAGTCTCTCAGCCCCACTCACCTCACAGAGTGTTTGTTGTGGGGGAGGAAGGGAAAGGAGAATGTTAGCTGCTTTGAGACTCCTTCGGGTAGTGATAAAGCGGGATATCAAATACAAACTCTTCTCTTCTTCTTCTCTTCTTGGTTGCTTTGATATAGAAACAGATCATTTTATTTCATTGACTATGCACTTGCTGAGAGAACCTTGAAAACAAGGCTGTGGTAGGGATCTCTAGATGTTTGGGAACCAGGAGGCAAAGAGCTTTCCATTTTAACAAATTTAGAATTTAACTATTGTGGGTTTCCCATGTACCCTACCAGGGGTATTTAGTAGACCATTGTGAGAACAGGATCCTGCAGGCTCGTTTATGTTCTTGTGTTTCCACCTCTTTCTGCAGCTTAAGTGTAAGCTATTTGTTTTAAAAGTAAAGGTAGTGCTGTTGGCCAGTAAGAAATTCCATAATGGGGAAATACCTCTTAGGCCAACCAAAATGTGACAAAAATAGTGTGCAAGCTTCTGAGTTCTCCAGAACTCATCTGGCTTTTAAAAAAGGTATTGCCCTAATGTGGATTTTGGAATTTTATAAGAATTTTTTATGCCACTTTGGCAACTTAGCCAAGCTGCTGACCATTACCTTTTGCCCACATTAGCCTTTAACCCTTCAAGCACTTATCACCTGTGAATTATTGTGCAGGACTCCATCCCAGACCAGTTGAACAACATTATTCACATGGGTATGGCAATGGAATGTGCCTTGCTCACTGTTTTTAAGTGAAATAAGCAGGCTAGTTGCTAAAGCAGCATGAAGGCTTTCCATGCTTTCTATGGAATAGCCAACTCACATTAGGAATACAAATGCAGCACTACAAGCTTTATAAAAATTGCCGGCAGTACACTTGTTAGATGAGTGGATAGAAATGTGTAGTCTTATCATCCAGAATCCTAATAAACATGAATCTAGTTTTCTAAGCCCAAGGGTGCATTTTTGTTTATTTAAAATACGTTAAGCCGCTCGTCGTCATAACTGATTGCAGGGCACAAGACATGTATAAAACCATAAAATTAAATTATATCTAATACAGGTAGTGACCATTTTAGGCGTGTCTGATATGTGCGCGACTATGCACACGCGCATTGCGCCGAACCTGGGATTGCCCCGGAAATGTAAAAACATCACAATGGAGGGCAGGGGTGGAACAGGGCAGGGCGCCTTACATGGGCCCTGCCAATGCGCGTGGGAGACTGAGACGTAATCCTGGCTCAAATCGGTTGCTGCCTGTATACAATTTTAGAGGGGGGGGGGAAACACCTGGAAGTGCATAGGTAGTCTGTGCAGTTCTCTCAGAATTTGGTGTACATGAGTCCAGCTGGCTAAGCTAAACTTTTCTCAAACAGCAGCTCCACATGCCTTATTGGGCTGTGGTGGTGATGGGTTAGTTTCAAAAACAGTTTATCGCTATATCTTTGTGGGTGGGTCCAGCTATTAACGCAGGGGAACAAACTAAAAACCCTGGCCCGCCTCTTTAAGGGGTTAGCTAAATGTGAGAGGTGTTGATTAGAAAGACTTAAACATTAAGTGTAACTGTGGACCTTCATAAAATACTGACCAATACAAGAGGTAGTGATTGGCGTTGGCTGACCCCCCCCCTCGAATAAGTGGTACAGCTACCTCTTTAACTTTAAACTCACAAGAAATGGTGAATTGCACATTTACTGGGAATACCATAAATACTCCTGGTATTTTGGGAATGCCCTACTACAGTTGACTCAAACTGCTTGGTAAACAACGATATAGAAGGCTAAGTGGTGCAGTCTCTTTAGCCCACTGGTGTTTATAGCTACTCAAGGAAGTAAGATGTCAGTGAAACTGTGATCACTTGATTAGGGTAATTAGTTCTTTGTCAACTAATGGCATTAGAACAGGATGTGAGACCTGGAGATCATAGCAGAAGCTGAATTAGTATGCCTCTCTTTATTGCAAGTGGTCTATTGCCTTGGATAGTAATTAAGGGATTTAAATGGACCATTGCTCTGACTTGTGGTTTATTGGTGAACTGTGTAGTAAAGGTGCTTAATTAGTGACGTTTCTATAGCCTTAATTGTATGACGACAGCCTCTATTTCCTCCAAGGAGCTGTGCTTAAAATCCTGTAGTTCTTTGTGTGAATTTATTTGGTTTTGCTTCCAGGTTATGAAAGTGGTTAACTTTAATTGTGTGCATGTTAAGCTGGCAGCCCTTTCAGACCCACAGCTCACCTTTAACCCAAAGGGGCCTGCTTTTAATTGTTTTACTGTCTGCCTTTCTCTTCTTTGGGTGACAAAGGAGAGATTTCTGGCAGGTGCACCTTGGCATGCAGGATATGTGTACCTGTTTAAATTCACTTTTATGTAATCAGTCAGTAAAAATAAGGGCGTTCTACCTTCCTTTCTTGATCGCCCCTTTCTGCTTTTTATTTTCTAGTTATGAGGGGTGGAATACTAAATGAAAAATGGTGTTCGTATTGTTGGAATGCCCTACTACACCCAAAGACCAAAGTATTCAATTAGAGCAACAGTTCCGTTTCTGGGAAAGTTGTTCTCTATGGAAGAATTAAAATATTGTATTTACTGCTCTCTATTAAATACATTTTTATTGATCTGTTACCATTAACTATAGAGTTTAGCATACTATGCTTTCCCTTTTTTATGCAAAAAGCAGAGTTACACATAAGGGCAGGTTAAGAGTGCAGTCCTAACATCTTTGTGGTGTGTTCACACATGAAATAAATATTTCCTTATCTTCGCAGCCATTTGGTAGATGGAGGACTCTTTGTTGCTGTGCTAGTATTTGTGCCAATGTAAGCACAAGGCATCGCTGCAGGTCAGGCTGCAGTGAGTGCACAGGCCTTGAGTGTGTGTTGTGAGAAAGCAATAAAGATCAGAGGCAAGCAGTAGCACTGGTCAGTGTCTCTATTCCCTGCCTTTTACCTTTGTCTTCAAGTTAGGAGTTAGGAGGATCCGGGGCATGGTCTGGAGGATACAGCAACTTTGCTGAAGCTTGAGAGATCTGGGTCTGGTCTGTTCCTGAGTAGGAAACTGCCTGGGAGTCCTATGTATGCCATCTGGAGCTCCATGATGGAAGAAAGGTGGGATATAAATATAATAATTAGATGAGAGACATGGAGTATCTGTATGATGGAAGGGCACAGTTACTATGTGTATTTAAACCCGCCGCAGTCTGTGGACTTCCTCCAAGCACTTCTACTTGAAGCAGGCGGGGGGCAGGCAAAGAAACCTGCTTTGTACAGGATCTGCTTGCCCACTCAAAGGAGAAGGTGCTGCCTGTCAGCTGATATCATATGTGACATCATCTGATGGATGAGTGGGCGTGGTGTGGGAAAAATGGCCTCACGGGCCCAATTGGACTCCATGATGGGCCAAAGGTTCCCCACCCCTGTTCTAATTGAGAAAAACAATTTAGCTCAATGTCTACCCAGAAGGAAGTCCCATTGATTTCAGTGAGCCTTACTTCTAGGTAATTGAATATTAGATTGCAACCATACTCTCCTCCCATGTATATGTCTGTACTGGGAGTACTAGTTCCTTTTAACTGCCTGTTTGATTTTTCAGTAAATGGGAATGTCAGGATAGATTCTAGAATAACTAGGACTATATTATGCTATTGAGTCTGTTTCTGTGTTGTGTCAGCACTGTGAAGCACCAGGTGTACAGAGAAAAGCAATTTTGGAATAAATTGTGCCTAAAGAAAATGACCATTTGTTCTTAAGCAGTTAGTTCTTACACCTCTAATCCATCTTTGCCAATGTGCTATTGTAGTTAAATAACTGAATGTTTGCATTGCCTATAAAACCATGTGACTATTCTTTGTAGTGCTTGCTAATTTCATTTCATCTAGAACTCTCTTCTGGTTTTTTTGCTTTTTTTTGGTAAAATTAATTTGAATTGTCTGCCTTCTGATTTTGTTTCCTGTCTGCTTGTTGCCTGTCAAGATGGATAGAAATTCAGAATAGACTGAAATTTTCAGAAGTACCAGCCAGAAGTAATATAATGAATTACTGCCTTTATTCCCAATTACATATGGCTATGAGAGATGACTTTGTCCGATGAAATTGTAGACATCCATCCCTCAGCTACTATTTTGTTATGCCTATAATGTTACATTTTTAGTCGGTCAAAGTTAAATGCACACTATATTTCTGCAAAATCAGATATTGGAATTGCTGAATAATTCACAAGTTGCTTGCTGTGTTTTATTTTTCCCAGTTTGGAAGAGAAAAACTTGATTGGTATTTACTGGTTCCATGTTGAGTATGGAAATGTGAGGCATAGGAAGTATGAGGTATAGCTGTGTGCTGCACCTGCTTTGGGTCCGGGCTAGGCTGGAACCATGGGTAGCTAGAACCAAATTTAGGCTTGGAAGGGGGCTCTCAGGAACATCCTGTAGAGGATTCTGGATTTTTCTGTTGACTAGACAAAAACAGATTGAGACTAGTGTAGGTTTGGCTAACCTTTGGCTTTGAAGATGTTGCTGGACTGTGGTTCCCATCATCCCTCACTATTGACTATGCTGTCAGGTGTCATAAGAAAGCTGCAGAGATAGCACAGGATAGTACGCACCCTGGAAATGATCTCTTTTCAGCATCTGCCTTCTGGAAGAAGATATAGGGTTATAAAGACCAGGACTAGCTGCCTGAGAAACAGTTTCTACGCAAATGCAATTCTGGTTCTAAATGCAGTATAAGGAGTCTTTATAGTATATTGTATTTTAAAATGGGGTTTCAAAAGTTTTTAGGGGTTTTTGAATGTTTTATGTAGATTTCCAATTTCATTGTTCTGTATGGGACAATGACAATAAAGATATCGTATATCGTATATCGTTGGCTGGGGTTGATGGAATTCGTTGTACAGCAGCAACTGGAAGGACGTACAAGGGCTGTAGAGCACATGCTTTGCATGCAAGCAATCCAATATTTTTTTATTTAAATCAAGATTTTTTTTATTTTAAATAGGATTTTTAAAATAAAATGCTTTTGGAGGAAAAATCTTTCTAAATATAGTTTTTTATTTATCTTACATTATAGTCCAAAGGTTATTCATCAGGAAATAAGATTTGTTTTAAGTTTTTCAGGTGTGCTAAAACTCAGCCTAAGGTGTGTTTATTTTTTTTAAAATTGTTTAACCACATCAGTTAACAAACATGGATACATATGCTGTAATGTTATTGTTTCAGTTAAATAAATTGTTTCCATTGTTATTAAGGAAATGATTATTTTTCTCCTTCCAATAAAGTACAGCAGAAAAGTTGTCCAAATATAAACCATTAACTTATTAAACCTCACAATAATTTCATAATTATCTGTCAATGTTTTTCTAATAGTATAATCAAATCAGTAATTTTTGATATAACTGTAAAAATTACTCTGACAATTTATTATTCCAAAAATGAACCCATCTGGTTGTAAATATTAAGATTATATTTTTTTTGTTAAAAAAAGATTTAAATCGTGATTTAAATCAATTTGATTTAAATCAATTTGATTTAAATCAAATCCACCCTGATGAGAACTGCTCATCTTCTAACATTAGGCGGATGAGACTCAGGAATATTCGCCTTTCTAGTTAGAGAGAACCCATGTTTTCAGAGAAACTGTTCAAGGCACCTCTGGGAAGCAGCTGTGGTTCACGGAAATGTTCTTTGCAAAGTGAAGAACATTTATCAATGTATCGTGAAATTACTATTCTGAGCTTGTGTTAAAATCCGCATGCCACACTGCATAAAAATATCTAGAGAGCGTCTTGCTTGTTTGTGCAGGGTAGAAGTCCTGGACAGGCATTAGCAGAAAGGCAGCATTTGTTTACAGTTCCTTGGTGGTGTTTCCGAATGGCTCACTTAATCTTATGTAATTGCAGTCACATCTGTTATCTTCTACCTGTAGCATCTTCCAGTTTGAAGGAAGTGTCAAAATGTGTTGCCCTACTGTGGTGACCTTTTATCCAGCTGTATGAGCTTGTCTCATTCTATTGTATTCTCTTCATTAACTTAAATGGTCTCTGTGGGAAACTGGGCCCAATTTATGACCTAGCCAGAAAATCTTGCCTTTAACTAATTAACTTACAGCATCACCTCAGCTAAATAAAGCTTAATGGGTCATTTAATCTCTCCCATTCCAACAGAAATAATTTTACACTTTTTTAATAAAAAAAGAGAAGCCAAGGGTGCACAAGATACCCTTCTGCCAAACACACACAAATCATGTACTCTTTGTGAACAACTAGATGCTTGCTTAGAGAAACTGCAGGATTCACATAAAATTGCTGTGCTTTACCCAACTCTTCCCTTAAACTTAACAGATGTAAAATAAATTAAAGACAAAGCCTTGGAGGCCTTTGGCAGCCCAGTAGTTCAAGCTGAAATTGGATACTTCCTCCTTGCAACTCCCCATTATTTGAAGCTAGTTATCCCATATTTGTTCTATTTAAAATATTTTTATTTTGTTTCTTAGTCAAAGACTCTCAAGGTGGCTAATAACATTTTAAAACGATACGTATATTCAAATTACAACAATTAAAACAAAATACTAAAACTGACTCCATTAGCAGACAGTAATAAAACAGCAGTACAATCAAATGCTACTAAAAGCTAGAGGGGAAAAAATGTCCTAACAGATAATACGTGTTGGGTGAGATGTGTTAATGTACATAAGTAATTGGGTTATGCTGCTTTACAGTTGCTGCCAGAAATGGAAAAAGGTGGTGCCATTTAAATATTGTTTTAATTTCATTTGAATTCTTTAAGCATTAATTGTTTATAGAGCTGTGGTTGTAGATAAGGGTGCACTTTGCTGGGAATTTCAAAGCTTTTCCTTTTGGGATTGGTAATAGTAGATGTAGCTTTGGAAGGAATTTGCTGGCTTCCTGGACTCTTTCCCTCTTAGTTGGGTTGGGAAGTGGATCTAAAACTCCACCACCAACTCAGGCCATTTCGACAGGTGCCTGGGGCCACCTACCTTTATTTATTTTCAACTATAATTATTTCAGAATAGAATTCAGTGCTTTAAATTTTTAACACCTTTTGCTGTTGCCACTGTGGGTCAGAGAAGAATGTGCCAGTGGATGGAAAGAAAGAACTGGTGCACTCCCAGTTCATTCTTTTCAGTTCGGCCCCGCAGGAATTCCTGTCCTACATCAGTTGAGCACAATTTTGGGGAAACCCCCTGACCAAATGGTGAGGGCCTGGCAGTCCTAGTTAAGCCTGTGGACCTGAGGTTCTGCACACCTGCCTTAGGGAGACACACATTACAGTTAAGTGTTACAGACCCAAACCATACTAAGACCTTTATTTGCTTTCTCAGTGATCTTGGAAATTCCATGGGCTCTTATGGCTTAAGATATGGAAAAAGACATGTAGTAGTTCTTGAATATGCCTGTTGTCTTTGTCCATGGAGTTTTCTTGGCAAGGATACTGGAGTGGCTTCATGAGTTTGACCAAACTGCGGGAAGTAGTGGAGGTCAGAGGTGCCTGGCGTGCTCTGGTCCATGGGGTCACGAAGAGTCGGACACGACTAAACGACTAAACAACAACAACAACAGCAACAACAAACTTCTTGAATATGTGAAACGTTTTCTGCACGGAAGCTCAATGTTTTTGAAAAGTTGCAGGAAGGTTATAATTCTGTTGAAGGGTCTTCCCATAATATCACCGTTCACAGCAGCTTTTGTGTAAGAAATTGAATACATGTGACTAACTACAACTATAATTTGGAAGGGCCCTGTAATGATAAGTGAAGCATAGAAGAACAGGTTAAGTTTTAACAGATCATCTCTGATTACTTGTAGCATGGTAAATGAGTGCTGCTATCGTCTTTAGATTTGGAAGGCATCTGTACAGTTAACACAGAGATAAAATAAAGCGTGTTGACTAGCGCTGGAAATAATACCTATTTAGGCATGTTGCCTTGAGATAAATATTGAAATGAAAGTTGAGAAAGATGCTTTTTATTACCCACACGATATTCTTCAACCTATTTCCTTTTTTCCTTTTTAGACTTCTGTACAGCTTGGCTTTTAATGCCAGATTCCTGAGGCATCTTTGGTATTTAATCTCCTCAATGACTACACGAATGATTACTGGGTATGTCTTATTCATTAATAATCTAAATGTAAATGGAGCGGTGTGTGTCAGTGCAAAACGAAACGGTGTGTGAGAATAAATGGGAGGTGTGTTGTACTTGGAGACAGGAGGTGCCATCTTAAGAGGCACTGCCTCTTATGTGAGAATGAAGAAGGAAGTTTCCTCTCAAACGATGCCTGCTGGCTTGTTTGTGGGCTTCCCAAAGGCATCTTGTTGGCCACTGAGAACAGGATGCTGGGCACTAGATGGGCTTTTGGTCTGATTCAACAAGGCTCTTCTTAGTTCTTAACACACCTAGGCATCATCTAAAAACAAAATACACTTTTTAAAAAAGCATATTTATATGGATAACTGGGAATGCAGCACAAGGTAAATTTACTCATGTATGCTCTCTTTTCCATACCATGTTGATTATGTGGAGGAGCAAACACATGAATGGGAGTTATGATTTCTTTAATGGGGGGCAGCCCTTTTACACTTGCAGAATTTCACTACTGAGCTAGATATTATTATTGAGAACCCAACTTAGCTTGCATAAGATGAAATGAAATTATATTTGTTAACCTTACTAGGCCAAAATATGGTTGTTCATGCTGGCTCTTGATCCTGAAGTTGCATCAGTCTCTATAAGTACTGTGATGCACTGATACACCTATCACGTCTGCCCATCCACCTGGGAATTTACCGTATTTTTTGCTCTATAAGACTCACTTTTTCCCATCTAAAAAGTAAGGGGAAATGTGTGTGCGTCTTATGGAGTGAATGCAGGCTGCGCGGCTATCACAGAAGCCAGAAAAAGCAAGAGGGATTGCTGCTTTCACTGCGCAGCGATCCCTCTTGCTGTTCTGGCTTCTGAGATTCAAATATTTTTTTTCTTGTTTTCCTCCTCCAAAAACTAGGTGCGTCTTGTGGTCTGGTGTGTCTTATAGAGCGAAAAATACAGTAGCTTTGGTTCCCCTCCCCCCCTCAACTTCAGTGCACCTCATTTTTCCAATTAGAACATGCTATTTAAGACTTCTTAATATGAGTGTCTGTACATTCTGGTATGTTAGTGTCTTCTCTGTAGATATTCATAAAATAGCTTTTAACATTTTTAATGCCTGGCTAAGTGACAGAAAATACCTAATGTTCCGTTGGGATATTCAGCTGTGTGATAACCATCCTGAGAATATTATATAAACAGAAACATAAATGCCAGCATTATTTTATTAGAATGCATGTTAAAAGATAAATTATGAATCTTCCACCTTTTAAATATAAATAAAACAAATATGTATTTATTTAATAATTTTGTGTACCTCCCTTCATCCAAAGGCCCAAAAATATTATTTGCAGATTCTAAAAAGCATATTTCATCATTTTTAACTTGTTCCATATTGTGGCATCGGGAAAATAAAAATCACCTCAAGTCCTCCCCCCCCCCCCACCCCCAGTTCCCAGTCCTAAGATTAAATTTATGACTGTTCTTCATCTTTTGTTTTGTTCTGTTAAGGTCTATGGTGCCACTCCTTCAGGTGATATCACGTGGCTCACCCATGTCTTTAGAAGATTCTAGTCGGATCATCCCTCTCTTTTATCTTTTTAGTTCCTTGTTTAGTCACTCACTTATTTCTATACATGATAATGAATTCTTTGGTGATCCTATAGAAGGTAAGAATATCTTCCTCAACAGCTTTTGTCTAGTGAAATATTTTCCCTCAAAACTCATATTGTTGTTATAAACACATAGTCGTGTGTGTGTCTATTATCCACACACACCCGGGCTGGAAGTGTACAGTATTTCCCAAAATTCTACAAAACTGAGTAACGGTTGGTTGTCTCATTGTTTTGTTGTTGCTATAATTATACCATAATTTTGAAATATTCTCCTGTTGTTTGTCTGTCCCTGCCCTTTAATATCTCTTAGGAGTGGAGGGGAAATGATGCTGAATTTGCTGGGGTTTTATTCAGGCCTGTAGCAACTTATGACTTTCAAGCTGGACAGAACCCATTGGACACACAATAGTCGTCTGCAGGGTGCTCAAGCATCCTTTATTTTGGCAATTGAAAGCAGCCAGGCAGTAAAAAGGAGCATTCTGGTGCTTCCCTACATGGTGTGTAGGCTGTGTTGGGCTTTTTGGGTTAGAAGTTGTATGGATTTGGCTAAAAACAAAGTGCCAAACTTGAGTTTTGAAATTGCTGCTAAATTGTCATAGATAAAACAACAGGGAAGGTTTTATTAGACTTGCACTGCTTGTATAAAATTGGCATGCAAAAATGTTAAAACCCAAGCCCTGTACTTATTAGAAATGTACCTAACTCTTAGCTACATTGAAAGCAAAGAGGCATAATTCTAACCAGAGATATTAGCATAGAACCAAAATATCTTCTCTAGTTCTGTCTTGTACTTTGGGTCCAGAGAAATAACTTCTAGTTATGTATTGCCTAGTTGTAGGTCCAAGGCAGTCATCGATGATGCCTTTTACGTTAGAAGAACTGGTAATATTATCACGCTGCCTTCGAGATGCTTGCTTAGGAATCATTAAATTGGCATATCCTGAAACCAAACCAGAAGTTCGTGAAGAATACATTGCAGCATTTAGAAGTGTTGGAGTCACCACAAATACAGAAATGCAACAGTGCATCCAAACAGAACAGAAACGGTGGATTCAACTCTTTAAGGTACAGTATAGTTTTGATTTATATATAGAACTTCCCTTTTCATGCACTTTAAACATGGAGATAACACAGGTGATGATGTCTACATATGGAGTTAGCACCTGATTTAATTATAAAGACAGTAAGAGAGATTAGTTTTTTAATTAAAGGGTTTTTTATAGAGTATGTTTCTCCTGATTGTAAAGGCTATTATAAAATAGTATTTCTGGCAGTATACTTTTAATCTAATTGAATTTAAGTGGGAACTTAGAATTGTTAAAAATGCCATTATATCTTGGAACGAGTAGTTTTCTTGAGATGCTTAGATGCAGAAAGGAGAAGTGATGTAGAAAATGGGTGGTACATTCGTTTCTGATTCAGCTACTGATGTTCAGCTGTCAGTTCTTGCAGATGTTAAATGTCCATAAATAACGAGTACCCTAGGGTCACCATTGTCCTATGGATGACTATTGGCATGTTTAGAGCTTATTGCTCTGCTTTCAGACAGTTTGGAACAATGCAGTAAAAAGGACCAAACTGAGTAGGGCTTTAGAGATGGGTCTTTTACAAAAATAGATAACATAAGTTGGTTTTTTATTTCATTTTTAAAAGAAACTATTCTGTTAACACAAGGGTGGGGAACATGGGACATTCCAGATGTTGTTGGACTATGGTTGGCTGGGCTGATGATAGTTGTAGTCTAAGAACTGGAGGACACCTGGTTGGCAACCCTTTGTTAGTGAATCAGTAGGGCTAATAATACATTCTTACGTTTTTCCCTATTTTTGTTTTTTTCTCTGTTGAGACAAACAATCTTGGAGCTATGCCCATGGTCCATACTTCATGTACTGTTTTTTGGGGTGTCTGTATGATCTTAAGCTTCTTTTTGAGTACCATACACATTGCAGAGCCTGGCTGAAAAGCTATTGTGTGGATATCAACCACCTATGGGTGCAGCAAACCAAGACTTTGTTTGCACATCTGTTACAGTGTTTCAGGGAGACGAAATGAATAGTCTTCTACCCAGTCTATTTTTTCTTTCTTTTTGGCAACCCAAGGTTGAACAACACTAAGGAGGTGGGTTAGGAACCGAGAATATAACGGTTGTGCAAGAAAGTGCTTGACTTGCCATGAAATTTCTGCAGCAAACACATATAGTCAGCTAAAATTACTCATTAAAGGAGTGGAAGCAGAAGAAATGCATTTTCCAAATTGAATGCTAGATTTACAGTCGGTTTAATACTGGCGACCTCTCACACACTAATGTTCAGTTCGAGTCATCAGCCGTCCCTTCAGGTCTTTTATCACTGCTTTTGTCAAGCTATCTATTTAATTGAAAGAAGTTAATTGAATGAAAATGATCAACTAAGCTTGTATTAATATTGCTAATGGAACTTTCTTCTTGGCCATGTTTGGAGAAAGATGTCATGCTAGACTTTAGGAAAGGCCCATTAATGCTTGCACTTAACCTGATGGGCTAATTAAGGAATGCTTATTCATTCTACAAGTCTACAATAGCCTCTATCCCACCCATTTTGCCCGATTTTTACAACACATTTCACTTACGAGCATGAACATTACGGACATTACCAGTGATGAGAGTAACTGATAATGTTTTGATTGTGTTGAATACGGTCCTAATGCATCACTAAAGTTAGAATTTTTGCAGATTGATCTAATATCTGTTTGCACAATTTTATTTAATTAGATGTCCTTTCATTATCCTGTTACATGCTCAGTTTGTTAAGCTGTGCAGAGAGGCCCAACATATGTTTTTGTATGTTATGAAATCATGCCATGTCCTTGCGCTGTGCATCGATACATCCATTTAGCAAACTATCTGGTGTTGAAATCTACAAAAAGAACTGTTTTAACGCCTATGTAGAGTTGTTAAAATTTGGAAAGATTCCAGTGGGCCTTGATAATTAATAATTGTACAAAGAAAAGCAAGTTGCAGAATAATGTTCACCAAAGAAGAACTACAGATCATGTATTTCTCTTAATCTGTGTGTATTCTGTGCCTTTAAAAATGGAACTGCACAAGATACACCTCGGTCACCAAGGGATGGAAACACGTGGTCCTCCAGATCTGACTCCCATCATCCCTGAACATACCCCATGGCTGATGGGAGCTTGAGTCCAACAGCTGGAGGGCTACAGGTTTCCCATCCCTTTTGCCCAACACAAAAATGATAGAATCTCAGCTGGTTAAAGCAGAGTGCTGATAACGCCAAGGTTGCAGCTTAGATCCCCGTATGGGACAGCTGTGTATTCCTGCATTTAAGGAGGTTGGACTAGATGATCCTTGGCTTCCCTTCCAACTCTCTGATCTTTATGTCAGATATAACATAGACCCAACCCATTTTAATTTCTCTTCTGTCATGTTCTGTGAATGTAGGAGTCTGTGATAAACAAATTGAATGAGATTTGTAGAATATAATCTGTAGTACTAAAGGTTTCAAGTCCTGTATTTTTGCATGAGATTCAATTTTTCGCACAAATGTTGTAGTGGGTGATGCTCTCACTGATAATCAAGTAACCCATCACACAAAAAAAATCCCATTACCTAGACATACATGCACAGTTCAATCCTTCTCTTTGAAATCTGCCCCAAGAAGGGAAGAAATCTGTGTCTCACTCAAGCAATGTGCATTCCTGCTTCTAAAGTACAGTAACAACTTCTTACTTACTTAAAGGAACCAGTTTGCAACAAATTTACTCTTCCTTTTGTGCCAAAGGGCAGCTGAAAGAGAGGGATTGTAGGTTCCACTTCAAAACAAATAGTTTTATCCTTGTTTGCGTGCTTCTGCTGTTGACAAACCTGGGTATCTTTCTATAAAGGTCAAAAGGATTCATTACTTTTGACTTATCCTTAGTTTCCACTCTCCAATAATGTGTTAATGAAAAATTGGATAAAAACCTATTGAAGTAACAAGGTTTACGAATTTGTTTTGTTTCTATCAAAAAACAAAATGCTTTCCCCATATTCGAGTTCTAAATGTTTTCCAAAAGCTCAAGAGATTCCTAAAACAATTTGTAAAAACAACAGAACCTTACTTAAGAGAATAATTTTTAAAGTTACACTGTTACATTTAGTTTTAGTTTCGGAATAAAGAGGGGACAGGATAGAAATTTAGATAATTATTAGGCATGGTATGGAGAAAGTGGATAGAGAATTAGCCCTGTCTCTCCCCACCCCAATATAATAGGGCCCCGATCTAGGGCCCAAGATCACCCCATGAAGCTGGTTTGTAGAAGATTCAGGTCAGATAAAAGGAAATGCAGCACATAGGAATTCACTCCACAGGCTGACAACATGGGTGGCATTAAAAGGGGATGAGACAAATTAATGGAGGATAAGGCAATCAATGGCCAGGCACTGCTTCTATAATCATACACTGCATGCTTCTGAATACTAAATTCAGACGGATTCAAATTACAAAATTTTGCCTAAACATTAGGATCAACTTTCTGACAGTGTTAGAAACTGAGATATGAAAGCTAAGAGCTAAATGGCACTTTAAACCTAGGTTATGAGCGCAACAACTCAATGTCTAGGCACATCTTTTTAATAACAAGAATACAAAGCTTGAAAATGAATGAACTGCAGCTAAAATATTATGTTCATTTTTCACGTGGTCTAGTCCTTCCCCTGCCCACCCCTCTAATATTCTTAAGAGGGTCTCTTCTCCAGTCTTCAGAGAGTGGCTGGAAGTGGGGAGGCAGGAAAAGGAAATCCTTTCCTTCCACTCTGCAGTTTTAATCTGAAATCTTAGGCGCAGTCCTGCGCCCAGAGCTCAGAAACTGCTTGCGCTAATGAAATTCCCAGTGGCGAAATGCGCCTAGAACAATGGGAGTTTCAAACACTGTTCTGACAGTAAGAGCTGCATAGTAGGGGGTTGGACTAGATGACTCGTTGGGTCCCTTCTAACTCTACAATTCGGATTCTTCATCCTGCCTTTGCACTTCCCATGGGCTTTTAATTGGTCATTGTGAGAAAAGAGATGTTGGACAAGAATAGATAGGCCTCTGGTATGATCCAGCAGGGCTCTTTATGTTCTTGCCTCGTTTTTAGAATAAAGAATGGTTCCCTTTTGTAAATGCCCCCCTGCTCTGGTGTGTTTCTGAGCAGGCTTGTAGGAAATTGGTCACCCACCCACCCACCCCAAAAAAAAGAAAAGAAAGAAGAAGAAGCAGCACTAAAGACTATCTCTGCCTCAGATTAATTTCTTTGAATGTCTTTCAGATTACTTCCCTCAGTGCTTGAAAGGTTTCACATGCAATATCTCATGACGTTTGCAGTCAGGGCCTAATGGAATCAGTGCCTGAGTGACCAACTTGGCTAACCTGCATTGAATTTTACAAAGGGCAAAAAGTGGTGAAAAAGATTCTGCATAATCATACAGATCTCCTAATGGTCCCCCCACCAGTAGTTTTCTAACCTGTAAAAAGTTCACTTAATAAACCAGGTCATTAAAAAAAATATCTTCAGTATGTGGAAAGGAAACCTTTTTGATTGTCCATTAAGTTCTTTTGCTCCTTTTGGCATCTGCCCACTAATGCACCAGTTGAGACATTATTGAAGTAATTACATTTTTTTAAATAAAAGAAAACCCCTATTGGCTCCATACTGTACAGCATAGTGCCATACATCTACTGTGCTGCTTTCAAACTTGATATAACTGTATGGGAAGGGCAGGGATTTTGTTTAGTCTTATAAATTAAAGATGAGTGCCTTAAAATGTTCAATTACGATCTGGGTCTTGGATCATCATATGCATTCTTGGATCTTGTGAATGTCCCAAGGAAGGGAATATGTGACATCTCTTTTCTAGCACTATTCTTTTTCCTACCTCCAATAATCACCTGTGATCTAGCACTGGTAACTGTTGGAGGAACTGGATATTTACGTAGGTGTTAATTTCTTTTATGGTCACAAATCACCTGATGTATGAGATAAATCAACAGGAAAGGTCAACTAAGCCAGTTACTATGGCAATGACCCAGTGTTTAAGTCATGTCAGCTCATTAGTCAGTCAGTCTGTCCATGAGTTGGAGTCTGTGTTACGTCTTGAAGGTGGAGCAACAGAGATACTTTATGCTTGTATATATCTGTATCTGTAGAGCCGACAAGCTGTATGTATATATGAACACCTAGAACTGTATTACTAAAGCCTTATCTTTTACAGCCGTAAACTATTTTGGATTTTAAGCTGCCTCTGGGTGGTGACTGGAACTGTGGGGCAACTACTTCTATGTGGGTATCTTACTTAGATCTCCTGCCTCCTGAAACTTTGTCCTTATATCATAAGGAGTAGATACTGGCCTGTTCAAATGTAAAACCTTTACAACAGTGAGCTGCAGCAAGCCTTGGTCTTGTACACTTCCATCTCCTCCTTGGGTGCATTTGTAAAGAGGAGTTAAGAAATACTCGGTTCCATTTTGAAATAACTGCCGCTTGTTGTGACATCTGAAGTGTACAAACTGGTTAATCTTAACGATGGCCTATTCCAGCAAAGATTAACCACAGTTTATCTGGGTTCAGATGTTATGACAAATGACAGTTAATCTGAAATGGAAGCAATACTTTGCTGAGGCTTACTGTGGCTCATTCTTATAATGCTGAACCATGGTTTAGTAGCATATCCGAATATAGCCACTATTTAGACAATGACTGCAGTTAGTGCAAAATGAGGCAGTGCAATTGTTGACAGGAATGAGAGTCTGTCATAATATTATACTTGGGCTTAAAGATTGGCACTGGCTACCTGTTGGCTACTGGGCTGAGTTACTGTAGGTACAAAAGGCTCTTAATCATTTGGGACCAGATTACTTAATAGATCACCTTACCCCATACATACTGATGCGATCACTTTGATCTGTGGAATTTGTGCCATGTCTACATTTGCAAGGAGTAATTCCCTTAATGTGGCAGCACCTGTCCTTTGGACAGTCGCCGTGACTGTACTGTTTTAGATGTCTGCTGAAAACTTTTCTGTTTCAACTGCCCTATCCAGACGTGTAATTTTGTTTCCTCTGCTCTTAAATCTGTTTTAGATGTTTTATTGTATGTGGTTGTTTTTATGTTTTAAATTTGTTTTAATTTACTTTTTAAATGCTTTATTTATTTATTTATTTATTTAGTTAGTTAGTTAGTTAGTGTGTGTTTTGTGCCCAGAGAATAGCAGGATGTAAATTTACGTTAATAAATGGTACAATTGGGTATTCTATTCTAAATTATGTTAAATGAAAACAATTTAGTTTCCTTGACTTTCCTCGAAATCCGATTTTTTTTTTTACATGTTGAGAGATTTCAGTTGTTTTGATGAAGAAGTAATTTTAAGTAATTTATCTAATGAACTTTGGCCAAATATTTGATAACTTAATCATGTCTCTTAAGAACAAAAATACTGTAACATTGTATATTTTAAAACATTGCTGCTTTGCCTGTGGTATTCTGAAAAAGACAAAGTTACAATCTATATTGATATATTTCTGCCATCCAGGTAATCACTAACTTGGTGAAAATGTTGAAATCTAGAGATACAAGAAGGAATTTCTGTCCACCAAACCACTGGCTTTCAGAACAGGAGAACATTAGAGCAGATAAGGTAATACAGATGTGGCTGTTTTAAAAAACTCTTTAATTCTTTTAAAATCAAACACTGTACAGATTTAAATTCAGTTTCCTTTTAAAATCAAACTCTTGGTATTAATAATCACATATGTACTTTAGTACAGTTCTGGTGTGCAGGTGTTAACCCGACTCCTTGAAGCATTTGGCATGTTTACGTCACTTGTTCTCAGTTCTCTGTTTGTGATATATTTGTCATGTCCTATGCATGTTTACTAAGAAGAAAGTTGCACTAAGTTCAGTGGTACATACTTGGGAATAATTTTGTGTAGGATTGTAGCATTAATACACAAGGTATTTGTCATATTCCCTGATAAACTTGTGATGCCTTGCTCTGTTGCCCAGTGCATATGTAGAGTTAATCAGAATTTATGAATTGGGAGTGGTGTTTTATTTGAGTTGAGCATTATTTTAATACATGGTGTCTGTTTTCCTAGAACATGGTTTGCAGTATCCTAACAGCTGTATGTTATTTGAAACTCTGTTTCTGATAATGATAATGATAATGATAATAATGATTAAACTGCAGGAAATACTTTTGTCTTAAGGTTTTGACATGAAATATTTAACTATTATATTTAATAAACAACTAGGTTACACAGCTTTATGTGCCATCAGCCAGGCATGTATGGAGAGTGAGAAGAATGGGAAGAATAGGACCTCTGCAGTCTACTCTAGATGGTAAGACAATATTGCTTTGCCTCGGAAACTGAAGAAGTTGCATCTTTTCTTTCTTTTAATAAATGGAGAGCCTGTTATTTCTGGAATGTGAGCTTTCCCAATCTGTTGATACAGCATTTAAGAGAATTTGTGCTCCAGTCACAATGCAGTTCATTGGCAATAGCATGCTTCTGAATTGTAGTTGCTGGGAGACAATACATTGTGCTCATGTCCTCTTTGGGGCTTCCCCAAATATCTGGTTGGCCACTGTGAGACAACTAGACAGGATGTTGGACTAGATGAACCCTTGGTTTGATGATGTAGGATTTTTCCTACATTCATGCCAGCAGTTGTTAATATACCAACAGCCTCTGGGATGGAGTGAGCTAAATTTACCTAGACAATTGATGGTACCTACTAAAGACCAGTACCTTTTTACATGGCCAGTTGTTAGGTACTTGAAATTCCACTGGATTTGATGTCCTCTTATCTGTGCAACTGATAGATTTGCATCCAAAATCAGTTTTCTCTGCCTGTTCTCTTTAATTTCTTGATGAGATAAAGGCTTGATCTTCCATAGGTTGTTCCTCTACCTTTCTTGACTGAATGCCCTTGAAATGAAAAAAGATGTGATCAACATGATTGTGTGAAGAAGGGCACATAACAGTGTGTTTATGATTTGTTTAATCCCACTTGACTCCATATGGGCTAGAATCAATTAGTGTGAAAGAACCACTGACTCACATATGGCTCTGTTTATTTGTGCTTTTTCATTTAGATTTAGATTTAGATTTAGATTTAGATAAATTTATTGTCATTGTCCGTATATACACAGTATACACAACAACGAAAATCAAACACCCACCCAAAGACCGGGTTCACATATACATTTGCACGTATCTCCGAACTCTCATCCTATTTAGACATAATCTATAAAACATAACATAATCCAGAATATAGCATGACCTATTAAAAACATAACATAACCTAAAACCTATCTCATTCCTTCCACTCCCTACTTACTAAACCTTGCAACTGGCCCTGAGATCATTATTTAGTGCAATCAGAGCTCTTGGATAGAAACTATTCAGAAGGCGTGTGGTTCGTGTTTTCATTGTCCTATATCTTCTGCCCGAAGGCAATAGTTCAAAGAAGTTGTGAGCAGGGTGGGTGGGATCTCTCAGAATATTATGTGACTTCTTCAAGATGCGAGACGTGAAGATCTCATCCAGGGTTGGTAGTCGGAGCCCAATAACGTTCTGGGCAATTTTAATTGTTCGCTGTAAAGCTTTTTTATCCGTTTCAGAGCTGCTCCCATACCACGATAATATACTATAGGTTAGGACACTCTCGATGGTACTATGATAATAGGACAGGAGTAGGTGCTGGGATAGATTCAGTCCCCTGAGCATTCTCAGGAAATACAACCTCCCCTGCACCTTCCTCACAACCATATTAACATTTGCAGTCCATGAGAGGTCCTCCGAGATATAAATGCCCAGGTATTTAAAACTACCAACCCTCTCCACTTCCTCGCCATTTATGTGCAATGGTAACAATACACTTTTCTTTCTCCTAAAGTCAATTATGAGTTCTTTGGTTTTTTTGGTGTTAAGCATAAGATTATTTTCTTTACACCATTGAATTAACCCCTGTACTTCTTTCCTATAAGCAGTCTCATCGTTCTCACTGATGAGCCCCACCACTGTTGTATCATCCGCAAATTTGATGATTGTGTTGGACTTATACAGTGGGGTGCAATCAAATGTGTACAGAGAATAGAGAAAGGGACTTAGCACGCATCCCTGAGGGGCTCCTGTGCTTAATACTAGAGTAGAAGAATAGTAAGGTCCCATTCTCACTGTCTGCGGCCTATCAGTCAGGAAATTCCTTACCCACAGACAGATCTTCTGATGTATACCCAAGTTGGTCATTTTAAGAAATAACCTGTCTGGCAGAATTGTATTGAAGGCAGAACTGTAGTCCACAAACAACAGCCTTGCGTAGGTTCCCTGTCGTTCTAGATGACTCAATACAGTATGGACGGCGATGGAAATAGCATCATCAGTAGATCTATTTCTTCTGTATGCAAACTGGAACGGGTCTAAAGTGGATGGAAGACTAGCCTTAATATAATCTAGCACCAATCTCTCAAAACATTTCATAACAACAGATGTTAAGGCTATTGGTCTATAATCATTGAGAGATACCACCACTGACTGCTTGGGGACTGGCACTATAATCGATGTCTTCAGGCAGGTAGGGACATAACCCTGCAACAGGGATAGGTTGAAAATGTCCGTAAATACGCCGGCTAATTCTGCAGCACAGTCCCTAATAGCCCGTCCCATGATTCCATCCGGTCCAGCTGCCTTCCTGATGTTAATGCTCCGAAAGGCACGTTGTACGTCACAGGTCTGTAATAAAAGTGGTTGTCTATCAGTAGTAGTTTCTGATAATGTGCTGGTGGCCAATGCTGTAGTGACGGTAGTTCCAGTTCCCTCCTCAAAGCGGCTAAAAAATTGATTCAGTTGATCAGCCAGGTGCGCACTGCTGCTAGCCAATTCGTTTTTAGTATTTTGCCCTGTAATTTGTCTCAAGCCTTGCCATACTCGACGAGGGTCGGAGCTCTCAAAATGTTTTTCGATCCTCCGGCAGTACATAGCTTTGGCGTTCCTAATGCCCTTTTTCAATTTGGCTCTAGCTTCTCTATACTGCTGCGCATCACCAGAGTGAAAAGCAGCATTTCTTGCCTTTAACAGAAGATACACATCCCTGTTTAGCCAGGGCTTGTTGTTAGGGAACACCCGTATTTGTTTGGTGGTAGTGACAACATCAATGCAGCTTTTAACGTAAAACAGTACTGTTGAAGCATATGTGTCCACATTATTCTCCTCAAAAAGCGACCACTCGGTGCTCTTAAATGGCAAGCTCTTGAGTTCTAAATGTCTTGTGTATTGATGACTCCATCCCATATTTCTCTTTAAAGATGGAAACGTTGATGGGGCAATGTAGATAAAATTGACTAATTGACCAGAATAATTGAACTGCTGAAGTTAGATAGTGGTTTACCTTTGCTGTACATGCACTTTGTTTTAAAACGCTTTTAACCCTTAGCTTAATAGATAGCATACGTTGACTGTAATTAAAACTGTTTACTGAAAGTTAGGAAAACACTCATTCCAAGGGTTTACAATATTGGTATTTGCCAAAAATTCCCAGCTCTGTTTCTGTGGCACTAAATAGGCACTCTTAATAGCTCTAGTTAAAAATAGCTTGAGGAGCTCAAAAGTATAGTATCTGTTACTGCTGATGCTTGCTATTGAAAGGCCAGCTAGTCACTGCTACCCTGCAAACAGATGATGATGATGATGATGAATTGCTTCTGCTTTAATACTCAAGTCATACACACCCAGTCTTCCAAGAATTTTTACCATTCCTGCAGACAGTGTCTGCCTGTGCTTGGGAATAGATCTTTCATCATTTACTCAGATAACTAAAATTTTGTAAAATTCTTTGGGGAATTTTCATTTCCAACCAAATTGGTTTGCCTTTGTCCACATGAACATTTATATGAGGTGTACAGTTTAACACAGACTACACCCCTCTTGTTCTATAGCCAGGACTCAGGTAGGGCTATACAATCAAGTGTGTGCATTTGTATACCTGGTGGGACTTCCTACAGTTTCATTTCTGAACTACAGCGTCTCACTTTGGATTGGAGACCACTCCCAGTATCCTTTGAGTTTGGGAGCTACGTGTTGAGTGGCACAAAGTATGCGGATGGTTCAGTAGGAAGAAATGTCACCAAGTCTACGTATATGAGTAGTAACTCCACACAACTGTTTGGATCTCAGTTTATCATTGCTTTATACAGTCAGCAAGTTTGGCTCTCTGTATGGAGTGGTGTCTTTACCATCCAGAGAAGAATGGAAAGGTAGTATATTGTATTGTGCACTAAAACTGAGCTCTCTCTCCCTCTCCCTCTCTGACTTTCAATTTAAAAAGTGGGGCTGGATCCAGCACCTCTTTCCGTGTCTGAGGAACGACAACTTGCAATATTGACTGAGCTACCTTTTGTGGTTCCTTTTGAAGAAAGAGTAAAGGTACATCATCTCTTTAAGTATTGTACTTTTGATAGTTAGCATAAACCAATGTATTTGCTAAATACAGAATCTTGCTACATGATTTATAAAGGACCCTGTTCTGCAACACAGAAATAGGCGATCTTGCTGCATGATCCTATCATTCCAGATGCCATTTTAAAATCATAAGTGAGTGGTGGCATGGTTCAAAGGTTCTTCAGTTTTAGTGCCTCTGTCTTAAAGCAGCTGGGGATGTTTGTATGTGTCTCGTGGTGTGATATTTTTCTTTTTTAAATCCTAGATGTGCCAAAGTTATTCTTCGCACCTCCTCTCCCAACCTGGTGTAATGAAGGTGTTTTGGACTACAGCTTTCATTAGTGTGCCTAATGCTCACAGACGATGGGAATTGTGGCCCAAAACACCTGCAGGGCACCAGGTTGGGGAAAGTTGCCTTATGCGATCACAGCTGTGTATGCCTTGCTGGTGTTTAACAGTCATTTGTTGTTCTGGTTGCAGAGGATGGGCAACACCAGAGAAACAAAGTCCAAAGCGCTGTTATATTTCAGAATGGGGAGTGCCTTTTTTGGGATGGGGTAGGTCGATCCTGACCTCGACCTATAATTTAGTTATAACTTTGAAAATCATCAGCCCTTTGAAGTATACCACAAAGTGCCTATTGTTTAAAGGGCTGTCTTCATCTTCTTAGTTTTAAAAAAACTGTAATAACTTTCTAAGGTTCTTTTGTTGACTCTACAGCTTTCAGCTAATTAGCAAACTGAATTCCCAGAATTGTGCTGCCATCAATGTGTGCTAGTCCTATCAAGGAAATGAAAGATAGTTTCATGGGAGAAATAAATCACTGTTTCCCAAAAGGACAATGATAAATGGAGGGGAAACGTGTTGTTTCGCTTTGGTGCAAGACTTACAAGTGGTACAGAAGAGAATTATAACTTGAAACTTGCATTCGTCAAGTTTCTTAATGCAGGCATAATACTTTTTTAAACTATTCCCTATACTAACAGTTTACACACATTAACAAACTCTCCAGTATATTATTATTAAACACAGTTTTGAAAGCAAGCTGGAATGTTGTAAAATTGTAGGACATTGAAAATCCATATTTAAATGGGATTACTTTTTCTCTCCCTTTTATTACTTGATTTATACAAGATATTTCAGAGGCTGATCTATGCTGACAAACAAGAGGTTCAAGGAGAAGGCCCATTTCTGGATGGAATTAATGTCACTATTAGGAGAAATTATATTTATGAAGATGCGTACGACAAACTTTCCCCTGAAAATGGTAATGTGTTTTTAAATTAATGCTAAAATAAGTTCATAGTAATAAAATCACTTGCCTTGGGAACTATAAAAATATGAGCCCTATACTATTTTCTTGCACGAAAAGCTTACATCTAGATTGTGGGCCAATTTGGTTAGTGCACCATATGAGGATGAATAATTTTCTACCTCAGAATTCCATCTGTCTGTCTGTCTGTCTGTCTATCTATCTATCTATCTATCTATCTATCTATCTATCTATCTATCTATCTACACCAGGCATTTGTGAAGCTGTGTTCTATTTTGGGATTTTAAAAAAGCTTTTTTAAAAAAATAAAAAAAGCCTGTTGCACATTATTTTTGCCTAGATTTCTTCAATGTGTTGCCTGTTTTTTCACATGTTGTGAGTGGATATTCATACTTTCAGTAGGATTTCAAACATTTAATTTGTGAACAGCTTACTGGTGGATAGACTGTTGTAAGTTGAAAGAGCTCGTGATCTGAATAAAAGAAGGCAGTTTTGCTTCATCTTTCAAGGTGAACATTCGGTGGTGAAGCTGTACTTGCTTTCTAATTAAGGACAGAACCATTGTAGAAATAATAAGTTCAGCGAGCAATAAAAACAGAGGGGCTTCATTCAGTCGTTGAGTTCCAGAAATAAACCTTGTAAGTCTTAAGATGGAGTCGTCTGATGGGGGTTACCTAACAGCACCTTACAGGGGCGCAGGTTCCTCATCACTTATTTAGAACAACTTGTCCTGAACCAAATGCACCTTTAATTTTTGTTTAAGTGGAACTGCAATTGTTTTATAACATTAGGCATGTCAATAAGGTCAACAGACTTCATAACATGTTTTAAAGGGGCTACTTTACTCACCAGTGGATTTTTGTAAAAAACAAAACAAAAAACCAACATGAGGGAATCCATTACATTGGGACAATATTGATGAGTTTTAGCTCATGAACTTTTAGATTGCATATTTTATTAACCCTTTAGGCACACCACTGTATTGTATTTCTTCAGAAAGTTGTCTTTAAATGCATGCATGTGTAAAGAGTTGTGCATTTGCAAATTCTTACATAACTTGTTTTCTCTTTCTCTAGAACCAGATTTGAAAAAACGAATTCGTGTCCATTTACTTAATGCCCATGGCCTAGATGAAGCTGGTATTGATGGGGGTGGAATATTCAGAGAATTTCTGAATGAACTGCTTAAATCAGGATTTAACCCTAACCAAGGTTTTTTTAAGACCACCAATGAAGGACTGCTTTACCCTAACCCTGCTGCACACATGCTCATTGGAGAGTCATATGCAAGGCACTACTATTTCCTTGGGAGGATGCTTGGAAAGGTAAAAATAAATAAATTTGCAGATATATGAATAGGAGCTGCTTGTGTAGTATATGAGATAGAAGTGGATTTTTTAATGGAATGTTTTCAGAAATGGAAAGTACTTGGGAAACAATAATAAGTTTGTATCCATTTTCTTTGCCCTTTCTATGAAGAGAAGGGCGTCTTCATTTTGATCATGTGTTACATTTGCTTTAACGATATTGATAGCTAAATGCGCACAGCTGCATTCTTCATGCTTGACATTCTTACTACTCGTGGGGTTACTTTCTTAATTCTGCATGTTTTAAGTGAAAAGATACACCATTTTTGGACAGGACATTTTCCCAGTTGAATCGCCTTCACACAAAAAATTAACAAGACTTCGTAAGCAGGTTATAGATTATGAAGTCTGAATGATCACTAGTGTCAGGTAAATTTCTGTTTCAGGCAGACAACGATAGATAGATATGATAATGAACTCTCTGATTTGATAGGGTTTCATTCATAGAATCTCAAGCCTGGTCATGGTGTCAAGTTTTAGTTTTTCAGTGTCAGGAAAAATGCATTTGATTTCCACCAAGATGATTCCTTTTCCTTCCCAACCCAACCCAGCAACTTTTTTTCTTGTCTCTAGTACATGGAGCAGGACCTAAGGTACTACAACAGCACTGAGCCATGATAAGTTAAACAAAAGAACAGGATTCTATTAATTACCATTGTTCCTGATTCTCTAGTTCCCCCCTTAACTTCCAGTATTGACAGTCATTTCATTGAGCTCCCACAGTGACACCAGTTGCACAGAGGGCTGAAGGTGCAGTAGAACAGTTTCACACATTGTTTTTAGGTGTACACCTAAGATATTTTAAGTGTACATCAACACAGATAAATCACGAACCTCACAGGTATGTCTTTGCAAACTTGTGTCATCGGGAGCCTTGTTGAGTTGGAGCACTCTTGACTGCACACTCTGGATTTGTCTCAACCTGGTGTGTGAAATGGACTTTGCCATCTGGCCATATCAAGGCTCCACATAACAACACTAGAGAACAGTTTGTGCTGATCTCGGAGCTACTTGTAACTGCTAGAGTAGACATGTATTGGATCTGGAAGACTTGCCTTGCGAACATCTAAAATACAAAAGCTGCTATATTTTACCTGGATATTAACAGGTTAATTGTTAAAGTATTAAAAGGGGAGTGGGGGAAATTTGACTTTGGGTTGAGAAAAGCTGAGAGGCATGGCTGTTCTTATACTTTGAGATCAGAAGGAACCCAGTTACTTGTCATTTTGAAAGCAGTCAAATATTGATGTGTGTGTGTTCTGTGTTTACATAAGGCACAAAATGACTACGTTATTTAATAATTAGCTGTACCCAGGTGCAGAAACACCCTTTAACTGGCATGTTTGGAAAGCTGATGAATTCAGTAGCAAGATAAGGCACGGTTTTACTATTTGGTCTCTGCCAGTATTGTGGTTTTAGTTAAAGACTTTATTAAATTCTTCGGTTTTATAAAAATGCTTACCTTTTATCCATTTGCAAATAATTTTGGAAATGCTGCAGTTGTTTAGTCTTTGTATAAATAAACTGCATGCCATACAAAGGAAGCCGTCTGAAATCCACAGAAATTTCTTATTTGTATAAATAAAAAAATGCAGAGAGAGTTGCTGCTAAGAGCTCTATTTATATGACAGTGTTATCAGAAAACAAATACATTAACATTGAATGATTTACCTATATTCTGTGTAGCCAGCCATTCAGTGGTAATCACCTAGTATATTTTAGTTAGTGTTGAATACTTCTTACCCCAAATATTTTTAATCCCCCCAAATGTTTATTATTAAATAAAATAAAGAGCATAAAGAAATAATACAGCAGAATGAAAGCAGCATAGGGTAGGACATTATCATTGATCTTCTTCTAAAATATTACAAAAATACCCATTTTACCATAAACATGGCTTATATATATTCTTTTGTAATAAATTATCTTAATCATAGTTACTATGGATCAAATTTTCTCAACCCATGCAGATATCCATTTTTTTAAAAAACTCTCTTGTTCCAGTTCTGTCTTGAATAAATTGTATTATATCCCTGGCAATTTATAATAATACACATTAAAAGCTCTTCATTGTGGTAGTTGCAATTTTGAAAGAATATTACCCCCTCCAAATATCTTTGAACTATAGATGCTTTATATCACAGTCCTAACCATGTCTACTAAGAAGCAAGTCCTATTCAATTCAGTGGGGCTTACTCCTAGGTAAGAAAGATTAGGATTGCAGCTGTAACTATTTAGGATTACCACATTTATAGAACAATCCTATGCACTTCTACTTGAAATAAGTCATAATCATTTCAGTGAGGCTTACTTTTAGTTATGGAGGGTATAAGGTAATAGATTCATTGGCTCAATAAATCAGTTTAAAACATTTTGATATTTTGAAAATAAATTAAGGTTGAACTTTCAGATGGCAACAGAGACATTATGAAAATGCAGGGAATATCTTAAGGTGATGGCAACTACAGCAGAACCAAGTGTCTGAAAATGTTGAGTTACTGTTTCAGAACTGTTTCACTTGCATGCTTTCCCCCCAGTTTTTAAAAATCATTTTCCTGACACTCATATGATTAAGTATGGCTGCAATCCCAACTCCACTTACCTGGGAGTAAGCCTAATTGAATCTAGTGCTTTGGAGCAGAGATGGTTCGTTTGTGTGTGTGGCAATATTACTCAACTTCCAAGAACTTCATGGCAGACACAAATTCTAGAAGGAAGGCTTTCTCCAGTACTGCATTTCCACCATGGGAAAAGCATGTTGAACTTTCATGTCATGCAGTTGATGAGGGACCAGGTGATTTGCTAGAAAACTAGACACTCCTAAGGGGAACAGGAGCAGATCAGATATCTGAGCCTACTCTATGCTTTGAAGAACTCCTAGGTTGGCTCTACCCTTCTTTATCGTCGCCTCAAATACAGTGGTGCCTCGCAAGACGAAATTAATCCGTTCCGCGAGTCTCTTCGTCTTGCGGTTTTTTTGTCTTGCGAAGCACGGCTATTAGCGGCTATTAACGGCTTAGCGGCTATTAATGGCTTAGCTGCTTTAAGAAAAAGGAAACAAACTCGCAAGAACTCGCAAGACGTTTCGTCTTGCGAAGCAAGCCCATAGGGAAATTTGTCTTGTGGAACGACTAAAAAAACGGAAAACCCTTTCGTCTAGCGAGTTTTTGTCTTGCGAGGCATTCGTCTTGCGGGGCACCACTGTAGATGTCAAATAAAAACTAGAAATCTTTTTTTGTAATCTTTTTAAGTCTCCTAAATTAATTTTTTTAAATGCCATTAAGTAAACTGCCTGATATTCTACTTTGGTTGTTTGGGCCTTTTTTTATTCAATATGTTAATAGCACAAATAAATGTGGTGTTTGAATAATTTCAAAATAGTATGAATTTGCTAATGATTCAATAGTATAAGCACTCAGTATTGTTCAACACTTTTTAAAAATTCCCTAATACTAACTTATTTTTGAAACGGTTTTAACATAACTAATATGCTTGTCTTCCCTATACCAGTTCCTTTCACATAACCAATTATCTTTTCATTACAAATGGCTAAACTTAGTACCAGCATTTATAAATATGTGTCCAGCACTAAAGGACTACTAAAAGTGTGGTATTTTAACACTAAATCTTTGAAAGGGAAAAGATTGTATTGATTGATTGTGATATTTATTGGGTCATAATGTATTTAAATTTTCTTTAATGCATATGTTAGTGATTGTTTACTGTGATAAAGTGCACAAAGGTCTCTGCAAGCAATTCTACATGGAAAGAATTACCTCATGTCAGTGGTCACTTCTCAATTAAAAGTTCCATTAGCAGATGATTCCAGCTTCTGGTTTGTGTACTGATTGCATTTTATAGCTCCTAAATCAGGCTTCCTAGACAGGGAATAAATAAACAGTTAAAGTATGTGGTAATGGCATCCTGATCTTCTTTTGCCTTTGGAAACACCTAGGTCCATTTAAGTCAATTAAGTTCAGAATATTTAGTGGAATAAATTGTCATGTTTGAACTCTTACTGAAAATGAGTACTCTGCTGATTTGAAGATATTGATTCCTCTCAATACGTGTTCCCACCACATGGATTAATTATAATTACCTCTGCCCACTTGTTTTTTTAAAACAAATGCTTCATATAGAAAAGTTATGCTTCTTGCTGGTAATTTTATTCTAAGAACTCATCTTCATGAACTTGCAACAGGATAATTCTTTTGAACAAACTAATTCTGGGACACTCCTGCTCTTAAGGGCCTGTGGCTATCTGTGCAGAGTGGCAAAAAATGCTTCCTTAATGCGGATCATTATAGGAAATTGTAGTCTTGTGATTCTTGTTATGTGCACAGAAACAGATGTGCACATGTGTCAAATACGACTTTGAAACTTCTGCTTGGAAGATAAACACAAGTCCTCCCATATGTGTTTGTAGTTTTGGTTCTCTGTAAAAATGTCTACAGAAGCTGCTGGGGAAGTAGCAACAGCAATTAGTATGATTATTGTAGAATATTTAGCAGCAGATCTGTGTAATTGAAACACCAGAGGCCCATAACGTTGTCCTGTGTGTCTGCTTATAATAGAAGTACACAGCTATTTTTCTGTTTAATATGTGAGTACAGTGGTACCTCAGGTTACATACGCTTCAGGTTACAGGCTCCGCTAACCCAGAAATAGTGCTTCAAGTTAAGAACTTTGCTTCAGGATGAGAACAGAAATTGTGCTCAGGTGGCGCGGCAGCAGTGGGAGGCCCCATTAGCTAAAGTGGTGCTTCAGGTTAAGAACAGTTTCAGGTTAAGAATGGACCTCCGGAACGAATTAAGTACTTAATCTGAGGTACCACTGTAATAGTTTCTTACAGTGTAAAAGAGTAAATTAATCATTCAGGGGATCGTGAATTTGATGACAGGAGCAATAAATGAAATAAATAAATACTGAGGATTGTATACAATGACTGTGTGAGCTGAAGGCAGTTTCTACGAATGTCTCTTTCTGTTCCCACGCCCACCCCTGAACAGTGGGGCCGTGCCATATGGGGACTGCAATGTGGTTGTGGTTGTTGTGGAATTCACGTGAAATTAAGTGGAGCACCATTGGGTCAACATCCCTCCATCTGCTTTCAGGTGATTCTCCTTCCCACTGCAGTGCCATATGACACCCTCCCCTTCAGTCTGCGGTTCCGGAGGGGGGTTTGAGGGGTAGAGAGAGCTGCTGGCAGGAGGGGAGGGGGGGGAGTAGAAAAGTTGGCTGCACAAACTGTTTTCCACTTGCACAACCATTGAATACAAGTATGGGTGTTTAAGTAAAAGGATATAACAGTGTAATAAAGGTAAAGTGACCCCTGACCATTAGGTCCAGTCGGGGGAAATGTGTTCGAGACTGGACAAAAAAGTATGATTTAACAAACAAATAAAATAGAATGTTTTATTTTAGTATTGTATTATTTTTAAATTGTAAAAATACTAAGTTGGTCTTAATATTCTTTTTTTAAAAAAAGGCAATAGTTTGTCTTAATATTCTGCTTTATATTAAATCTGAACATTAGGCTGCTGCAGCTGCAGAAGGAGGCCATATTAGAGGAATATTAAAGAAAAAATAAAAGAGTCTGTAAAATGATACAGTGGATGCATTTGAATGTCTACATTAAATCACAACTTAGCAAGACACAACTGAGCTTCAGCAGACCTCAGACTTGCATGCTTCTTTTCCCATGTGGCCAGAATGAGTTCAGAAGCAACCATCTTAGCTTAACAGCATTTTTTACGCTTAAGAAAAATAAGTAACAAGAGCTTTCAAACTTTTCTTCCTGGCTGCATGGGAGAAGGAGCAGGGAGTGCTCAAGCCTGATGTATTTTTAATTTTTAAATTTGAAAATGAAGGACCAAGGTGAGCTTGGCTTGATCAAGAAACCCCAGAAGTCTGGGCATGTGTGCACCTACTGCAATGTGTGGCTTACAGTGGTACCTCGGGTTACATACGCTTCAGGTTACATACGCTTCAGGTTACAGACTTTGCTAACCCAGAAATAGTACATCGGATTAAGAACTTTGCTTCAGGATGAGAACAGAAATTGTGCTCCGGCGGCGTGGCAGCAGCAGGAGGCCGCTTTAGCTAAAGTGGTGCTTCAGGTTAAGAACAGTTTCAGAACAATCTTCGCGGAGCTCAGGCCCAATGGTTGCCATTGGTTTGATTTGAATTAATTTTATAATGAATGATTTTAGAGTGTTGTGTTGTACTGTTGTACTGTTTTATTGTTGTTAGCCGCCCTGAGCCCGGCTTCAGCTGGGGAGGGCGGGATATAAATAAAATTTATTATTATTATTATTAAGAACGGACCTCCGGAACAAATTAAGTACTTAACCCGAGGTACCACTGTATTATATTTTGCCATGTAGAAAGAGAAGAGCCTAACTGTGACTAACTTATCAAAGAACTGCTATACATTTCGCAGATGCCTATTTTAAAAACTTAGCTTTTACACTAATTGGAATGTTAACTATTCATCTCACCTTGTTTATACAATGGATGTTTCTTTTGTCTTTTATATTTGGAGGAACTTGGCTGTGGGAAACTGTGCCATCTTGATTATAATTTTAATTAAACACAATCAAGGTGGCCTAAAAATGTTTTATATAGTTTTTAGATTAAGTTATAAATGTTTGCTGTGGAGCTACCTGAAGATTGATAGATCTGCATTTGAAAAGCATTATTTTTATATTGATTCTTAATGTAGTAAATTACTAAAGTTATTTGGCAGCAAACAGAAATGGCCTGTGATGTTGTTCACATTTATTCTCCTGATAGCACCACAATTTGCATTAATTGCATTGCTAGTGCACTCACTTATATTAAAAGGCTTCTACGATAATTAATCCTTTTTATTTCAAATCATTTTGGCACAATTTCCAGCAATAAACACTCATAAAAGACAGACACTTGAAAAATAACATGCAGGTTCTTTCAATATACCTATTGCTATTTTCCCTTGACAAGGAGTTATTGATAGGCTTCTAGGAGCCAGTGTTAACATGTGGCTAAGAATTAAGACCCATATGAAAAATGGTAAGTGGATTATTTTGCATAAAAAATAGACAGTTCTTGAATCTGTGTAATTAACCTGTGTTTAGAAAATACCTTGATTTATGCCTACATTTGTATTTCACTTGCATACATTATGGAAATTTAATTTATAATCCATTTAGCTGATGTGATCATAGTGTTTAGGGCCATCATTTATTAGTGCTTGTATATTAAATGCTTTAAATGCCTAAACCTGACTTGTGTTGGGGGTGGGGAGGGGGAAAATATATATAAGGATGCAGAAGTATTTGGTGAGTCAGTGATTAAATTCAGCTTCAGATTTCAGGTAGCTTTGATATATTTACCAAAGTTGTGGAGTGTGTGTGTCTGTTACTAATTCAGAATAGCAAACTGTGACCATACAGATTGCAAATTAATGATTTACACTTGAAGTTTACTTTTTCAGCTACACAAAGAAAAGGTTTCAGTTTTCATCCCTTTCCTAAAAATGCCTCCTTGGCTTTGATCTTGTTAGTCATACATTCTTGGGGCTAAACTGTCACACAGTGTTTGTGTGTGAAGGTATTTTGATAGGGCATCATTAGGAGATTGGTGCTTTTTACTGCTCTTCGTGGTTCTGTAAATTTTTCTTGACCCTGAATACAGAAAGTTTATGAAGATTTGCATTTGGAAATAGAAGGAAGGAGCCTAGAGGAGCACAATCTGCAGCTTCCAGTGTTTAATTGAAAGCTGTCATTAGCTATCACTTTATGGTCAGATAGATAGGCGCATTGTTCTGAATGTCTAGGTGAAAGCAGTATATGTCTTCCATTGATAAATAGGGTGGCACATAAGTCAGTTTAATACTATAACAGCCAGTAAATTCATTGGAATTAAGGACTCTTAGCATATAGAGTGTGGGGTTGGTGTTTGCCTATCCAAAATCCTGGTGAGGTATGGAAAAGAAAGGCCATTATATTTAAGGGACAGAAAACATTCTAGCAGTGAATTGACCGAGTGACCCAAGGACATTGGTTAACTTGTAGGAGAACTTGAATTTGAAGCTGCTAGATAGCAGCAGTGGTGCATACCTACTTTTGAAGACTTTTTCTAACTTTGATTTTAATGCATTATCGGTAGATAGCACACTGATTTTTAAAAAATGTGCCACCTTTCTCTTAGATACCAGGCACCAAGGCTACCTGACAAAAAAAACACCCCAAACTTTACCGCATTTATAAAATAACAGTAAAACAGTAGCAATACCCATAGCCTTATAATATTTCATACAATGTGTATCTCTTAATGCATTAAAAAGTTTGTACATAATTAACCATATGCCTCTCTCGCTCGGGGTTTGTTACTGCATTTAGCAATTCTGTCCAAGTGCACAATTTGGCATGGGGTATGGATTCTCATGTTGTGAGAATCTCTCCTTTCATGTAAATAAATGGGGGGACATGTGTCTTTACTGGGTGGAATCTCAAAATATAAAATGAGGTGGCTGGGTGGATGAGAGGGGAATTAGATTCAGGGCTGGGAAGGTTAAGCAGTCCTTAGTTCCTTTGCCCCTTTCCATTACTAGCAATGGTAAACCAACCAAGTAAACATGGCCATACAAATCCTCAACATTTTTGTAACCCAGAATTCACCTTCATATGGGGAGAGGTGGTCCTTGAGGTATTGCAGTCCTGAGCTGTTTGTTTATAAGGCAAAACCGAATTGAGCTCAGAAACTAATTGGCAGCCAGCACAGTCTGGTCAGGATTGGCACTATATGTTCAAACTCTATTGCCCTGGTGAGTAACCTGGCCACTGAATTCTGCACCAGCTGAAGTTTCTGAACTGTCTTCAGAGGTAGCCCCACATACAACACATTAGAGTAATCTAACCTAGAATGGGGCTAAAGAGAAAATCAAAGTTTTCAAAAGTAAGTAGAATTGACTGAATACACACAGGAGACAAGCTTCCATTTATTCAGTAAGGAGGTGGTCTTTTTCATTTTGACTTCAAATAAAAGCATTCAGGTTTTCTTATATAATGTGTTGGCAACTGTTAAATGACAGAAAGAGATTCTCTGCAACTCTACCATGGCCCAGCTTGATTAAGTCATTTCTGAGTTTTGATGTTGCTAATTTATGTATTTATGAGACTTGTTTTAATGTTTTTGTTTATGCATTTTTTGTATTGCCTTTTCTGATACATACTGCCTTATACTGATACAAACTGCCCGATGACCACTTTTGGTGAAGGGCAATCTAAAAATATTGAAATAAAATATTTACATGGGATGGATGATATGAAGATGGATGGGGGAAGTTGTATAGAACTCCCATAGATGGAGGAGATATCCTGCTAAGTTTCAGAAGTGAAAGGACATAGTAAATACTTAGCTTCTGAAGTATATAAAAGTAATTTTCAACTTTACATTTTTTTTAAAGGCTTTATATGAAAATATGCTTGTTGAGCTTCCATTCGCCAGTTTTTTCCTTTCAAAGTTGTTGGGAACAAGTGCAGATGTGGACATTCATCACTTGGCTTCACTAGATCCCGAAATGTACAAAAACCTACTTTTTCTTAAGAGCTATGAAGGGGATGTGGAAGAACTTGGGCTGAATTTTACTGTGGTGAATAATGAATTGGGGGAAGCACAGGTAAGGGACTTCGGCTTTTAAGTTCTCAGCAATGTTTCCATTTAGATGTCATAATGATAAACCATATGTTCATCAATGACTTTGTAACTTGGAGTCAAAGCATACAGGCACTCTTTGTATTGATACTCATCAAACTAGCTCTTATGGCAAGTCACATATGCCTTTAGATACAAGCTTTGGTTGTTACAGGGGAAATTCTTACATAATTTTTATATTTAAATTAAAAATGCTTTGCATCAACCTCAAGTTCTTCAGTTTCATCAGAAGCACTTATACATTGGGATATGCAGAGAACACTTCTTTACAAGTGTCACAAAGTCTTTGCCTGTTTGACTTGCCTGTTGAATTGTTTTCATAAATAGTTGTAGTTGATGACTCTAAAATGTTGGTATGGAATACTGAATTTGTAGACATTCAGGATGCTATGAAGGGAAATTCTACATGGTACTTGAATAGAAAACCCTAATAGTGGGTTTTCAAGAGTATATGAGATCGAATACAAAAGAACTGGACAATTAGTTCCAGAGGAACTTTGCATTGTGCTTTTCGAACAGGAACCCCTGCTATGCGGCAAATGCTCACTGAAACAGAGGAGAATTTGAAAAGCAGTGTGTGATGCAGTAAGGGGGTCCTGCTTAAGCCCTTGGGTGCACCTAAAGTATCTCGTTGGATCTCTGCCATTGTAATTACTTCTGCTGGGTGCTTCTGAGAATATCCTTGTGAAAGAATTTAAGAAGAACAATTTCATATCTTAATTGACTGTCTTTATAAGGAAGCAGTTCAGCTACCAATAAAGGAAAGCTATTATTACTTGGAGAAAATCCAGTCTCAGACACAATCCTAATCATACTATTCAGATCAAGGGGACTTTTTTGTAAATCCAGTTAAAAGTAGGGTCTTAAATACAGGTGACCCCTGTATTTAAGACCCTACCCCTGAAAGTCTGCTGGATGTTGGGTAGAGAAGTCTGGTAAGAGGCCACTGTTAAAACCAAGTCAACAAGAGCATCAGGTAGAGTTTAGCCATTGTACTGTTACTTGCAGAAGATACTTGTTGCAATTGGCCACGCCCATCATCATCATCATCATCATCATCCCCTGCTCATTGTGTCCATTTTGCTAGTTGAAAACATTATGTACCAGAGTCTCAGATTAAACCACAATATCCTAAATTTGGCTGTAATGATAAGTATTGAGGTAGAAAGGGAGGTGGATTTCATTTAGAACCTAGCTTTAATTCCTGGTGATTGCTTAATTGCTTTATAATGCCTAATAAATGCATCCCAAATCTATCACCATCAACCACATTGTTCATGATGGGGCTCTTCAGGCCTTGGAGTCTGGCATAGGAACTTGTGTTACATAGTCAGACCACTGGTCTATCTAGCTGTTGGTTATATATGCTGGCAAGACCTCACCAGAGTTTCAGATGTTGTCCCTCTTAGTTTACAGCCCTTCCGTCCTTTCAAAAAACTTAACTGTTTCAAGGAAAACAAATTGGAAAGTGTGATGATGCCGTTGACTTCACAGAAGCGTTGACAGTGTTCAATCTGTGTTGATTAAAACTTGGCAGTGGGAATTGAATGGTATATTGGAGGGCACTAGAATTGCAGTAATTCCAAATAAATGTGTGTTGCTATTGTGCTCGGTAGTCTGACACAAAAGGCATCCAAGCACAGAGGCCTCCTTCTAGACTAGAAATGTTTGATAATGGAGCAAAGGGCTGCATTAATTGGTAAATCTAGACCTGTGTCAGCAGGGGCGGCTTGCCCTGTTTTGCTGTCTGAGGCAGAGTGGGAAGGGGCCATGCCCCAGATAGAGCCTCACTTACCAGTGCATGGCTTCTGCTGAGATCTCATGAGAGGTCAGTAATATCTTGCTGGAACCTGGATAGCACAACCTGGGATTCTGCCATCTAAGGGTAGACTGGCCCCAAGTGTCACATTAGATTCTGGTGACTGGGAGGTCTAGAACAGGCTTCCTCAACCTCGGCCCTCCAAATGTTTTGAGACTACAATTCCCATCATCCCTGACCACTGGCCCTGCTAGCTAGGGATCATGGGAGTTGTAGGCCAAAAAAAAACACCTGGAGGGCCGAGGTTGAGGAAGCCTGGTCTAGAATGTTCTGAGTACTGTATCCAGTTTCTCTCACACACAGCACATAATGATTTTCAGCAACAAGGAGGTTGAGCTGTCACCTTGCACCTTGGAATATACCAGGCAAGATCTAGCATGGCTTGGGGATATCCCACCTGGTGCTTTCACTAAGACTTTGCTGTATCCGAGATCTTGGGGCCTACAAAGCACTTCGCTAGCCTGGTTGGGTGACATCTTTAGCCCAACCTTGCATACATGCGTAACAGACCCAGAATGTGCCATCAACAGATACCCACAATGCTTTTTTTTTGTGGGGGACGATGCATTTTGAATTCAGAAATCTTCTCCAGAATTTTGGCAGAGTAGAACTGATTCATTCCTGGCTCTGCCAAAACCTCACTGACTGGAACTCCTTGCATTTGCTCATCCCTAATTATATATTAAAATATTTGTGGTCAGAATGTTAAGTGTATTCTTGAAATAGTTTGCTTCTGTATTGCAGCTGAATCTCGCTGATAAAGCCTCTTTAGGGGAATGTTGATTTTTTTATTTACTCATGGAAGAAGTTCTTTTGGGTTTGGGTATGGTCAAAATGAAAGGAAAAGCATTTAAAAAGGTATATTGCCGGTTTAAAGACCTGTGAACTATGGCCTGCATAATTTTAAATAGACTTTATAGTTATGCCATCTAGTGGCAGAAGGTGCAACAGAACTCCTGCCTAAATTTAGTTAGTAAGGAAGGACTGGGCTTTTTAATTTCTGCTCATATCACGCCGTAAATGCCATTTGCGTTGATGTTTCTACGTACAAATAATTCATGAGTGATCAACAGTAATATTGGGTGATATATAGGCTGATATGCCACCAGATCATTATCAACGATCTTAGTATTTAGGAGGAAAAACAGTTCATAAGACTGACATTTATTTCATAGAATATTTTTATGTTTTACAGGTGGTTGAACTGAAGCCTGGTGGAAAGGATATTCCTGTCACTAGCGCCAATCGAATCGCATACATCCATCTTGTGGCAGACTACAGGTTAAACAAACAGATCAGGCAGCATTGCCTTGCATTTAGACAGGGTCTTGCCAATGTTGTTAATCTTGAGTGGCTTAGAATGTTTGATCAGCAAGAAATTCAGGTACTGTTGCATAGCTCTGTGGACAAAATAATTTAGTAATATAAACCTTTGAAAATCCTGCCTGAAACTAAACCATGCATCTATCTTTCCCTATCTGTTCTAGGTTTTGATATCTGGTGCACAGGTTCCTATTAGTCTAGACGACCTTAAAACTTTCACAAACTATTCAGGCAAGTATATTGTAATTCAGATGATAAATAAGACAAAATCAAAGGCATGAGCCAGGAAGGTTGAGCCACAATTTTCAATTGAAGAATTAACTGTGTTTAACTACTCCCCATTTCTTGGGATGCAAATTGGTTCTAAATTTTAGTTGGATCATTTTCCACATTACAATTTTTAAGAGCAATACTTAAAACAACAGCAACCGGTTACAACAAAGTCCTTTATTGGCTCAGTTTTATATTAAGGAGCTCTTGGATGATGCCCAGTGCCACAAAGAAGACTGAGAACACCAAATATATAATAATGTCATACAAATGTACAATAATTCATGATGGTCAGAATGCCTAAGAACATCCGCTACAATGAGTTTTTAAAGCTACATTAATACTCTCATAGGACGTGACAGAAAATACTCAGATGTAGTCCATTTTCAGTATATTATCTTGGATTTTAGTGTTTCAAAACCTGTTGCAGTCATTGGTGGGAGACCTTGTCACACTATGTCTGCTGTTTCCCTCCTGCTAATCTGGGTCCAACCCCATCAATTTAAATATGCATATGTTTAATGAAAAGATAGTGAAGGCAGATAACCTTCCAGCTGGAAACACTATAATTGAAAGTCCTGCTTGCTGTATTTGGTATTGTACCCTTTCCCCATGGCGCTGAGGCTCCCAGGTGGGTCTTCTTTCCCCATATTGGTCTGACTCAGACTTGCTTAATCTTGGAGATGGAACTATCCAAGGTGCCTTCTCACTCATGCCTTTGTTTTTCACCATTTCTGCTTAATGTGCAAATGTTGCATTGAGCTCAGTTTTAGAATGCTGGGCTGCTTCCAAAATGTGCTGAATCTTATGATGTTGCACATTTATTGAATCCCTGAAAAGGCTAAGATGGAATGGGACATGTCATTCTGTTGCTCTCAGTACCAATGTATCAGGTGGTTCAGAATATGTTGGTTCTCTTTCCTGGCACATGTGGGCTGTATAATCTGCACATCTGATTTTCTGCAGTGAGTACTGTAAGACATATGAACAAAAGAAACCAGTAGTGAGGTAACTTTCAGCATGGCTGGCATTAGATGAGATCTGATTGACGCATTTCAATCATTCAGATTTATCAGTGTATCCAGAATGCACTGTAGCTGTCTCCTAATAGTATATCGTAATAGCGCTGTTCAACATTGATACAATTTGTTTTTCTTTTGGAAAATTGTAGGTGGTTATTCTGCAGATCATCCAGTAATCAAAATCTTTTGGAGAGTTGTAGAAAGTTTCACCGATGACGAAAAACGTAAATTGCTCAAGTTTGTGACAAGCTGTTCACGGCCTCCACTCTTGGGGTTTAAGGTATCTGTGTTCCTAAAATTGGCTTAACAGAAGCATAATCTGATTTATTGCAGCCATTCCCATGCTTTAGCACATTAAGAAATAATTACTCAACAATTTGAGAAAAAAGCACAATAAATAGGAGTACTCAACATTTGCACACAACATTAAGTGCTCATCAAGTTTCTCTGCCTGATTTTTGGGGGTTCCTCCATGCCACTGACACATGGTGAAGTATTTCCAGGAGACTAGAGTAGAGGGCATTGAGGGATTTAGTGTTTTTCATTGAGTGAGTATTTCTAGACCTTGAGAAATAAGGTTTCACTGATCCTCTGGCTTATCACATATTCTATGCCGCCCATCTCTATTTTTGCATTTTCTGTTGTGTCTGGAATGATTAGTTATCTTCTTGATATTGTGAGCTGCTTTGAGTATGGCTTACCACTGGGAATCGGCATACATACAGATGACGGTGTACAGCTTTATATTTCTTATACAGTGGTGCCTCGCAAGACGAAAATAATCCATTCCGCGAGTCTCTTCGTCTAGCGGTCTTTTCGTCTTGCGAAGCAACCCTATTAGTGGCTTAGCGGATTAGCGCTATTAGTGGTTTAGTGGCTTAGCGGCTGTTAAAGGCTTAGCGGCTTAGAAAAAGGGGGGGAAAGCGAAAAAAAATCGCAAGACTCGCAAGACATTTTCGTCTTGCGAAGCAAGCCCATAGGGAAAATCGTCTTGCGAAGCAACTCAGAAACGGAAAACCCTTTCGTCTAGCGGGTTTTTCGTCTTGCGAGGCATTCGTCTTGCGGGGCACCACTGTATGCTCATTACAGGGACTGTGCCTACCCAGTAAAATCCTACCACGTAGTGCATATTATTTGACATGAGGAGCAGGAAAGATGCTTCCCCCATTTATGGGCAAAGATTCCCAACAGCTGTTACCGCTGTCTGATAATTGTGTAGGTTGATGAATAACTCCTGTCAAATGCCAAGAGCTGTTATTGTTTGCCCACCAAGCTCAGGGAAATGTACTGTTACCATGCTGCGCCCAAGCAGCATAGGAGCCCTGAGATAAGTAGCATAATTCAGTGTGACTATTACAAATGCTGTTGCAGTGCTTTTTTGAAGATGAAGAGCACCATGTACTGTAAGTAGTAATTAGTATTTGCAATGAAATAAGTGGATTCATTTAATGAAAAAATATATATATTGAGGGCAGCAATTAGTACAAAATGTCTTCGGTAATTAATTGTACATAGCTGCATTAAAGTAGAAGATAATTAAATGTTACTGTTAAGAACATAACTTTCTAATAGCCTGGCTTTGAACTCTTGTCCATGCTACATTGTGGAACCTTCACCTTTGCTAAAGTTAGTTCACTCATTTAGAAGAATGCAGTATGTCTTGAAGTACTTTTACTTATAAATAGCACAGTCACGACTTGCACTGTTTAAAAAAGAAGAGAAAAAATGGAAGCCTTTACTGCCAGGAGCTTCAGCTCACAATAACATATGCTAAAGCTAATTAAAGTTTAATAAGTTTAATAAATGAGATTGTTACAGACAAAAAAAAAATCATTAAAGTGCAGTTGGAAACTGTTAAGTTCCAATCAGGTCACACGATAAATTGATGATGCTTCTCACTTCTCTACTATTGCAGATTCCCGTTCCACAGTATTTAATTATTCAACAAATGGTGCCCTTGGCTTGACATTTCAATATAGAACTTCATTTTTAACATTTTTAAAGCTTAAAGTAGGAAAATTCAATTAGCATTTTGAAAGGAACACTAAAAATACAGCATTTTATCTATGACATACATTTTAAGGCCTCCATTTAAACAATAATTTAACTTAAAATCTCATTAACCTTCTGGCATGGGGTGTTAGGATTTTTTTTTTTTACTTTTTTGCAGTTTCTAAAACCAGACAATCTATTTTCACTCACCAAAGCATTTGATTAAATTAATAAACTCTTGTAGGGAAAAGGAGAGTTTTGGATATAATGTGGAAATGTCTTAGGCACCCCTAGGGTGGGGTGGGAGGAGAGATCTTGTTTTCTAAAAACTGAGGAAAACCTATTTTCTTTTCCTTTGGGGGGGGGGGTAAAACCATTTTACACCTTGGGAATGTTCTTATTTTGTTAGAGGCAGAGTTGTTAAGTAGCTAGATCAGAGCTTTCCAAACTGTGTGTTGCGACATGTTAGCGTGTTAGCTGCAGTGTGTAGGTGTCTCTTGCAAACGCTCCCTGCACTTCTCCTGGTCCTGGAAAGGATTGTTTTCACCTCTGGTTTGTTAGTAAAACTGAATTAAAGGTAAAGGTAAAGGTACCCCTGCCCGTACGGGCCAGTCTTGACAGACTCTGGGGTTGTGCGCCCATCTCACTCAAGAGGCCGGGGGCCAGCGCTGTCCGGAGACACTTCCGGGTCACATGGCCAGCGTGACAAAGCTGCATCTGGCGAGCCAGCGCAGCACACAGAACGCCGTTTACCTTCCCGCTGGTAAGTGGTCCCTATTTATCTACTTGCACCCGGGGGTGCTTTCGAACTGCTAGGTTGGCAGGTGCTAGGACCGAATGATGGGAGCGCACCCCGCCGCGGGGATTCGAACCGCCGACCTTTCGATCGGCAAGCCCTAGGCGCTGAGGCTTTTACCCACAGCGCCACCCGCGTCCCAAAACTGAATTACTGTGTCACAAACTGATGCATGTCTAAAAAGTGTGTCACCAACATGAAAAGTTTGAAAAGCTCTGAGCTAGATGAATCGGGAATAGGCAGCATGTCTGTGACCAAAATGTTCCTTCAAAGCACTTTGATACGGTTTGACATTTTTGGGAGTACCAGATAATAATCTCTCTGTGTGTTAAATCTCTGTGTGTGTGTGTGAGAGAGAAAAAAAATATTTGATTCCTCAGATGTTAGAAAATGATTACTTTCTGCTGAGAGCTGACCTCTGGACTCCACACAACAATCTCCCCATGCCACCCGCCATGCTCACAATGGTGTGACGCTACATACTTTTTCTCTTAGTGTTCTATTGCTGTAAGAAACAAATGGTTTGAGGACTATTTAAATGTATGTGTAGATAAACACCAAGTGCACATTACAGATTGCTCAGCTTCATAAGACATCTTGATTCCTGATAAACACATGCAAATTAGATTTTCAGTGAATCAGAGTTAGGTTTTTAACGATAGAATATGTGTTTTGTGGAACAACAGTTGTGTGTTTATTTTTTATCTAAGGGCCAATAATCACATTGCTGTGTTAAGCTTACACAAGAATCTCAATGCTAATCCAGTTTTACTTTTAACAGAGGACTTCCATGCTGTATCAGAAGCTGCTTTTGAAACTCCTCTCGGTTTCAAAACCAGCATTGGCTTCTTTTAAAGAAATTCTGCTTCTTCAACCTTTCTGTGGATCCTGGCCAAAATCTCAAGCTGGCAACTGTCATTCTACAACACTGTTGAATAGTAAAATTATAAAAATGAACTGATGTGGGCAAAGTACCTTGTAGTTGTCCATTTCATATAAAATTCCACAATAGGAGGTTATTGTGACTTCAGAAGCTAATAGTGTATCTCTTAATACACGTTTAGGGGCTTCTTTAAGGCCACAAGGAAACTTTTATTTGGATTGTTTTTTTCTCCTTGTTTGCTCTAATCCTTGTTTCATCGTTACATCTTTTCTCCTGCCCCAGGAATTGTACCCTGCTTTTTGCATACACAACGGAGGCTCTGATTTAGAGCGACTACCCACTGCCAGTACCTGCATGAATTTATTGAAGCTTCCAGAGTTTTATGATGAGAACCTTATGCGAAGTAAGCTGCTTTATGCCATTGAATGCGCTGCTGGATTTGAGTTGAGCTGAGCTGAGCTACTCTAATGCTCTGTCGAGGAACTAATCAGTGCCTACTTCCATACGCACCACCCACACCAAGCAGATTAAGAGAATCCCAGCTAGGTTTCTGCAACTCATCTTTCCTGTCAAATACTCTCAAGTAGGTTTCAGTTTCAGTGCAAGATGTTCTTTCTCTGTCATTCATTAAGCATTTAACTGCATCAACGGTATCTTACTCTGATTTCAAAATAATGACGCTGTGTGCAGTTTGGTAGGCTTTCCAAGAAAGAGCATATTTGGGGGCACAGTAACATCATTTTGAAAATAACCAAAGATGAAGCTTTGGCTTTGCGCTGTTCAAATACAGAATAATTCCATAAGCTGGCAATAAAGCAACATACAAAGCAGCCCACGAGGAATAAACAGGGTGATGACTTTGGAGAGGGAAGCAGGCATTTTGCAAGTGGCTCGGAACTGAGAGGCTAAAAGCAGTTCCATTTTTTTCCCTTCAAGCGGCAGAAATTGTTTACAAACCTTTCTGCAACTGCAGTTTGTTGCAACTGGGGGGGGGGGGAATGCATTTTTATTACCGTGGTAGGCATTGAAAGAGAGCGTTTATTTCACTTGTGTGCGTGCGTGTTTTTTCAATACCTTCAGTTATCTGAATGGGCATGCCTGTTCTTCAGTCACTACCTTAACCTGTGTCTTGATTAACTGGACATGTTCTTTCCTTCTTCTGTTCCATTTTCTCCTGTGTGCCTGTAGACTTTTTAATGCGACAGACTTCTTTGGCATATATAATACATACGATAGCTGTGACTTTGGAAAAGAAATACTTGTAACAACCATTAAAATATATTTGAACCGGAAGCTCCAGGCTTTTAATCTTTTATATCTGAAAGCCTGTGGGTGGGTGTTCACATACCCTCTTTAGCTTTCTCTGTCAGGAATAATTGTGGTTGGTGTAGAAACTGGGCTTTCCTTCGTTATTTGCCATGATTAAACAACTACGAATCCATTTGCTCAGTTAGCAGTTAGCTGCTTGGACACGGGGAAGGGAGTGCATCACTGGACTATGTTTGACTGACAAGGCAAACATTTGTTTCATGTGGTTCAGAAATGGTTATGGCACTGGGTCAACATTTGTCTTCACGTGCAATTCTCACTAAATTATTTTTTTAATAATATAATTAGAAGCTAAATCATTAACGGGCAGAATCAAGTGTGTCCTTTATTGTCAGTTGGAAAAGGCCTGAGAACTTTTACATTGGGGGGCCCTTCCACTTCCGGCCTCCTAGACCGAAAGCTATTTTACTGCTGGGGAAGCTTCTCAATTTCATATTTAATTAGCAGTAAACAGCAATATATTTTAAATGTGCAGAAGAGCTCTTGAGTGATTTTAAGATGTTTACTAGTGTTAGTACAAAAAAAATGTATAATTTCATGATTTGGATAAGAAATGAAGTGTTAAAAATACTATTTGTAGTCACAATGTACAGAAATAAAATAATTGTTTTCTTTTTGGTTTTGTTCTAAGCTGCTTTATTTATGGTAACATTTACAATGCCCTGCCTATTCTGTTCCTGATAGCTGGCTGCCTGTGTTCTTTTTATTTTTATTTTTATGTAGATTATGGAACTTAACACAGAAGGACTATAGAAACCTTTAACAGGACTGCTGCCTTCTCTAAAAAGCAAAGCCTGGACATTTCCTTTAAAAAACCACACACCATTATTTATTCTATAATCCAAAGTATTAAATATTTCGAAATTATTTTTTCAACTGAATTAATTTGTTGGATTAAAAGCTGTCATGTTTGTAAGTTGTAAAATGTAAATTAAACTCTTTTTGTATTGAGTCATAGTATTTCCAGGGTTTTGTTAGTTTATAGGCCACATTATTTTAATGTCTGGTAAGTTACAATTTACTCTTGTTGTGCAAGCATAGGGCACAGTTTCTAAAATGTTATCAAGGAAGCCAAAACAAGAATGAGGCTGACACTGGCCAAAATCAAATGAGCTATTCTCCGCCCCTTTCTCTTCCATGCCACATTGCAACCATTTTTAAACAAAATGATTTTGCAGGCGGTCTGCTGTGTGCTATAAAGTGCTGCTCTTAGTGCTTTTGGATTGGGAGGAAGTATATTAGCACATATGTGACTTTGTCCAGTATGTTCCTGTCGGCAGGACCTACAGCATAGGTGGTGTAAAATTCCAAGAGCTAAAATCTTAATGACAATTAGCACAATGAAAAAAAGCAGGGAGCAGCAGAGCCTGAAAGGAATACAGTCAGTTCTTTCCAGCCTTGGAAATTTTTTAAAAAAAGTGTATTGCAACATCATTCTGCCTGGGAGCTGGCAGTCATATTTATTATGCAACCGACTAGCAAGATACCAACCAATTGTCAGAATCTGTACAGAAATGCCCATGTTGAATTGGTAGGTGAATGCAGCCCCACGTGTCATATAGCTACTGTACATTTCCTAGGGCCTCCGTTCCATCTTTGTATCCCTTGCAATCCTTACCTTAATCCACGGGCCATGTTACTGAGATGTCCACTGAGCCACAGAATTATGTATGTAAATATGACCCTAGAAATGGATGAGCCCTGGAATAAGGGGCAGAGTTTAGTTTTGTTCAGAGAGAAACTTTGGAGGGTGGCATCCACGTCACCACAAGCCTTGCACTCACTCAAGCCTTAGCAGTCAACCGTTTTGGCTCCTGAACGCCACAAACCTGGAAGTGAGTGTTCCGGTTTGCGAACGTTCTTTTGGAAGCAGAACATTCGGTGGGGCTTCCGGGGCTTCCGATTGGCCACAGGAAGCTCCTGCAGCCAATCGGAAGCTGCGCCTTGGAAGTTGAATGTTTTGGAAGTCGAACAGGCTTCTAGAATGGATTATTATAAGACTATGGTGGTTCAGAGGGGCCTGTTACCTGGCTCACTGGGCCAATTCTACACATACTCTAAATACACATTACTAAAGGATTGGTCTGTAACGGTTATACACAATTCTATGCACCCCCACTTGGAGAAGTTTGAGGCCTTGCCATCATTTGCATGAGTGTCAGAAAAAGCAAACTCCTTCAAGCCAAAAGATTCCTCCAGAGTGACAGGTAAGTTGTCCATGGCTGACTCCAGCAACTGAGTCTCTTCCCAAGTCTCAAGTGTTTCTTTTTACACAAGAAGCTGCTTTATACTAAGTCAAATCGCTGGTCCATCTAGTTCAGTACTGTCTACACCTAACCGACAGCAGCTCTCCAAGCTTTCACATGGGACATTCCCAGCCTTACCTGGAGGTGCCAGAGACCTTCTGTATGCAAAGCAGCTGTACCACTGACCTATGGCCCTTCCTCTTTTTCTTATTGTCATCTGACCTTTTGCATTAAAGATAGCTTGTTGTTGTTTAGTCGTTTAGTCGTGTCCAACTCTTTGTGACCCCATGGAACAGAGCACGCCAGGCACTTCTGTCTTCCACTGCCTCCCGCAGTTTGGTCAAACTCATGCTGGTAGCTTCGAGAACACTATCCAACCATCTCGTCCTCTTGTCATCCCCTTCTCCTTGTGCCCTCCATCTTTCCCAACATCAGGGTCTTTTCCAGGGAGTCTTCTCTTCTCATGAGGTGGCCAAAGTATTGGAGCCTCAGCTTCATAATCTGTCCTTCCAGTGAGCACTCAGGGCTGATTTCCTTAAGAATGGATAGGTTTGATCTTCTTGCAGTCCATGGGACTCTCAAGAGTCTCCTCCAGCACCATAATTCAAAAGCATCAATTCTTTGGCGATCAGCCTTCTTTATGGTCCAGCTCTCACTTCCATACATCACTACTGGGAAAACCATAACTTTTACTATACGGACATTTGTTGGCAAGGTGATGTCTCTACTTTTTAAGATGCTGAAAGATAGCTTACACAAATATAAAAGCCATGCACCCTGTTATTTGACTAAATAGCTTCGAAACGATTTTAAAATTGCTGTAACTCACCCTGGGACCTGCTGACGAAGGGTGGCTCCAAAAACATCAAATTAATGCTCGTAGCAAATTAAAGCCAAGTCCAAGAACAAAAGTTTCTCCACCCACGCACCTTCTGCCCACTCTCTTCAGCTTGAAGGTTGTCATTTGCTAAGTAAAAAGCTGATGGGCATCTCACTCAACAACACAACCCAAACTGTCACATGGTCATCTGTTTACTCCTAAGTGAGGGAATAGCAGATTATCTGTGACTATTAACCACCTCTCTACCCAATCAGTTGGCCACAGGGCCTGTGCCAGTCCCCTGCTGAAGCACCGCACGCGCCTTTGGCTTCCAGCCAGATCTTGCAAGAGATCCATGAGATCCCACTGCAACTCAGAAGCTGCGACTATAGCCACTTCTCTGCCAATGGGTGGGAGAGAGAGGCATGGAGGTGCCGGATAAGTAAGGAGAAGTGGTGGAGGTGGCAGCTTCCAGCGACATCTTGCAAGAGCCCTCGCGAGATCTTGTGCAGCTCTCGTGAGATCTCCCTGGAAGCCACTGCTGCTCCAGCAATGCAGACTGGCACTGCCCCTTGGATTCCACCGCCCGGGGTGGCTGCCTCAGTCCGCCATACAGATGGGACGACTGGTCAGCCAGAAGCCTATGGATAGTAAGAGAGCGACAGCTGCTGCTTAAAAATTATGATATTGGGGCAGCAGGGAGGAAAGGTGTCCACTGGTCTCACCTTAAACCAGGCACCCCCCAAACTCAGCCCTCCAGCTGCTTTGGGACTACAATTCCCATCATCCCTGACCATTGGTCCTGTTAGCTAGGGATGATGGGAGTTGTAGTCCTGAACCAGCTGGAGGGCCAAGTTTGGGGATGGCTGCCCTAAATGCTACCTGGGCTTTGCCCAGACCGGGGTTTCTCAAAAGCTTTGGTCCCCAGATGATGTTGGACCGCAACTCCCATCATCCCACCCCAGCTATCCGGACCAGTAGTCAGGGATGATGAGAGTTGTAGTCCAACAGCATCTGGGGGTCCCAAGGTTGAGAAAAGCTAGAGACGTTGCTCCCGCTCCCCACTCCTGTCCTCTTAATAGCGCAGCGCCTCCTCACAGCCGCCAGGGAGCGCCCGCCCGCGCCCGAAATATCCCCCCTCCCACCTGCGGCAGTGGAACGGGGGGGGGCGGTGGAGACGCCAAAAAGCAGAAGGAGTTATTCTAGAAACTTCCGGAAAGTAATAAACCCCGGCGGAAGTGAGAGCTGAGACTTCCTCCTCTCGCGTTCTCTTCCTTCCCTTTCTCTCCAGGTTTACGGTCACAGAGAAAAGAAATGACTGAGAGATGACCGAATCGCACAGATCGGGAATTTCCGGGTCCACGTTACGGTAAGTCAAGAGCTGCGTTAATAGAAATGAATGAGGAAATTCCAAGATTCGACCATAACTGTGACTGAGCCACAACGTATTCACCCGGAAAGACGGCAGCAAAGAGATTTATTTATTATTTATGATTATTATTTATTTAATTTCTTTAAAAGGTTGGGCAGAGTGGGTTACGACAACCGTCCAGCGATACTTCGAACCTTTTGCAGGCAGGTATTATAACTATCATCATTATTATTTAATATCATCATTTATTCCATATGTATGATTAAGTTGAGATTCCTGGATTGCAAGAAGTTGAACTAGATGACCCTCGGGGTACCATCCTAATCTACAATTCTATGATTCTATGATTATTTTGTTACCCCCGCCAGATGAGTACATCTGGAGGGGTATAAATTATTATTATTGTTGTTGTTGTTATTATTACCTTCCTTTCGCCCTAAAGGCCCCAGGGCGGGTATACATACACACATACACCTCTCTCTCTGAAAATAATAAAATGTCATAAGCCGGGGGGGGGGAGCTTTTTAAATGTGTAAAAGCACATTTTTACATTAAATATGAAATTAAATGAGAGATTAGAACACTGGTAAATCCCTGCTTGCCTTTATTTGGGGGTGGGGTACGCTGCTCCCCAATCAGACATTATATCAAAATTATTTCCGCCGGGCGGGCTGAGTTAGGATGAATCGAGAACCTTTCGAAACCTTGGAACTTCAGCTATAAGGTGTCACTCTTCCATTTCCTACATCTAGGGAAGCGCGCTGGTCTGGGGAGGGAGGAGGAAAGAAAACACACACACAAAACCCCACCAACGGCTCTTCCGACGCTTTCGGCGTGTGACGCACTTCCTGTTTGCGGCCCTGAGAGGAGGAGAGGCATCGTCTCCACCGTCACGGCTGCCGCTGCTTTATCAGAAAGCGGGAAGGGACGAGACGGGAGCTGAGCGCTGCAGTCGCCGGCCTTGAAGGAGAAGAAGAGCTCGGAGGTGAGGGAAGCGCGGAGGGCGCGGGGAGCCGAGAGGGGAGGAAGGTGGCGGGTATTGGGGGGGGAGGGGAAGGAAGGGGGTTGTTCTGAGGGGCGGGGGGGGGTTGGTTGGTATCTCCACAGCGGCGTTGGCGCCAGGGGCGCGCGGCCTCCCCCCTCCCCTCATACCCTCCTTCGCCTCGCGCTCTCTCCTGA